TATTATAATGACAGATGTTATTATTCATAACATCATAGAGTTTTGTTTAACCGTCGAATAAACCACAATACTTGCCGTGGAGTGGAATAGAATGTATAAACCATGATAATTATTTTATTCATCGCCCCAGCTTGGCAACAATAATAGTCGGCCTGGTATCATAATATAATAATTATTACAATAGTGGTATATTAATTTATTGCTGCAAATCGACGGCAAAGCCTGCTGCGCGGTTTTATATGTCCATTTTTTGTATAATTATTATTATTAGATAAAATATTATCATAATTTACTATAATATACTGTATTCCAGTATAGTTGTATTTTGTAGTGTGCTGTATAATAATATTAAATCGTGTGTGCTAAACACGGTTGAAAAAACTTACTCGGGACTCGAATCGACAATTAATTATCTGTCGAGTAATTCGCGTTATCTCCAACCGTTTAAACTAGCGCATAATAATAATAATGTGTGTTTTATATTATAGGGTAATTAACGTTTGGTGTGTCGCCTTTGGTTTGTTTTTACTTGTTTATTAGACATGACACTTTTATCACTGAAAAAACAAAGAAGATGTTTCTAAACGATTCACATCGGTATAAAAAATGACAAAACTCTTGTTGCACTATTAAATAGTTGTAAAATATAAAAAAAAAAAACAGAAAAGTCAACATCATAAGAACATACATTAAATGAGAAAAATGGTGATTTAACTCAACAAACACTATCAAACCTAAGTATAAATATAAATATCATTAATATGTAATATGGCATTCTACCTTGTAAGTAAAATGGAATTGTTAAACTGTAAAATTTTTTTATTTCTAACCTGTTAAATTTTTTTAAATATATTATCATGTTATGTTTTTGTGAAAAATGCTGCGCCTAGTACCTTTTAATGGGTTGATTTAATTTTAAATAATATTAATTTTTAACTTTAATTTAACCTAAAGAAAGCCTAAGTCTGCTTAACAAAAAAACCAAAATTTGAAATTGGACTAAGTGATAAGAGATAAGCACAAATATATATATATATATATGATAAACTAGATTGTTAACTAGTGATAAGAATAGGAGTCGACGTCCGCCATTTTTGTGTGTGTAAAATATTTTATATAAATATATCTGTGATTCAGTGTTGCCAACCTAACTTTTACTTGTTGTAAACAAATTTTTACGTGATGAGGTTCCGAATTCCCACAAAGATGGCGGAGAATAGTGACTTCAATTCTTATCTCTCTTTTGGCGGCATGTACATTAACACGGTTGAAATATCATACAAGTTATTGCACATTATTCTTGTAGAATAATATACTTTGATGTATGTTTTGATTGGTCGCTCGTTACGCTGACATATTTGTTTTTATCATCGAATATTCGACAGTAATTGTATATTTCAATCGTGTACACTTAGCAATAATATAATATAGACATTATTCCTCGATTTGGGAAACACCGTTATTGTGGGTGGTGGGGGGGGAGGGGAATTCCGAGTCGATACGAATAACATTGACTTTCCTGTGTTATCATTGATAGTACCGTTTGATAAGAGACAAAAATAAAAGTGATAAGAGATAACATATCAACGATTGAAAATATGTTTTTCGGTGAAGCAGTGTGCGTATTATCCTTGTTACTATTATATTATATTTCTATACGGGTAATATCACATCACAATACGGTATAATATAGAGGATTGACTGGCGCAACGGTTCCCTGTTTATATATATATAGTCATACCGCATATTATAGTGGTCGTCGGCGTCGCGTTCTCATTGTTTGTAACCTCTTCCCTTCACCGTGGTCGCCGCCGTCGGTCGATACAAACACCGCTGCTACTTCCTTTTCAATGAATAGGTACATATAATATAATCTAATATATATATATATATATATATACATATTTTTTTCTACTATTATTATTGTAAGACCTAAAGAAACACACACATTGATATCTACACCTACGGTGCGAAATTTATTAGGACATTTTTATCACAACTAAACCGCCTTACTATTCCCGTTTGTTTATTACTTATTCTTATTTATTACATTACACAATAATTATTAAAATAATAATAATTTTAGCATCAAAGTCACACCGCCGTTTTACAATACTTAACATGACTTTAAAAAATACACCTTTATTATCGACATCTCTTATCGTTATCATTGTTATCAGCTGTTATCATTAAACGTTATCATAACAAGTCTGATACGAACAAATTGTTGTAAATGTCAACAAAAAAAAAAACAAGCAAAACTCTTATACCGAGGGTTTGTTTTATTACATATAGCGTAATTCATCGAACAATAATTTGATAGAGTTTAATTGGGTAATAATTATTACAGTCATAGATAAAACTTGTGGGATTTTTGTTACTATAATCAGCTGTTGCTTCATCAATGTGCGTATCACACATTGTTGTAGACAATGTTCCAACTCAATCTGATCCGAGTCCAATAATCCACTGTGTACACAGACCGTTAGTACGTTTAAACGTAAAAAACAACAAGCTCTCGCAAAAATAATTGCAGGATATCACTGCCAATAATAATCGTACAGCATGCGAATAATCGTGATGGTACAAATTAGAATGTTGACGTTTGATTTTATTTATAATTTCACAATTATCCGCACTGAGCTAATTTTATAACACCAACGTTAGCTGTTGGCCTAATGCTAAACATAATATATTATATTATTGGCACTCGCTTGTTGCAAAAAAAAAAAAAAACACTATTTACAAAATAATAACTGATAAGAATTACTGATAACGAGTAGTTGATAACGACGGTCGATGGTGATAACATTACAAATTTCTTTATTTTTGTTAATCTTATCCGAATGGATAATAGTATATAATATTATGGTCGATGAGTACGTCACGGCCTACATAATATTTTTATTAAGTACATTGATGTAGGTAAAAGTAGTAGACCTTGTTTGACCCCACGTGACCGATGTCAACAGTGATAACAATGATAACAATAATGATAATAATAATTATTATTATTTCAATCCGTCAATAAGAATATTCTTGTACAACTTGAGCGATAATAGTAAAACAAAAATGGTTCTCTTTTGTCTTCTCGATCGAACCAACAACGATGACGCACGAGATTGTTATATTATATTATTATGCATTTTTTTTTTAACCGATTTACCGCGTTTAATAAAAATACAATATTTTCTAGTCGAATCTCATCGACACGTCAGTGGATCGAATTGAAAAAAAAAGAAAAAAGTACGCCGTAACATTTTTAAAAAGTTTAGTCAGCAACAATGCATTTAGGGGGTAAAAATGTTACTTGTTTATGTTATCTCTTATCTCTTGTCATATTTTATCAGTTATCAAAATGGTGACATGAAATCACTTGTGTGTAAGTAATAAAACACGTTTGTTAAATCGTTTATTTTCCATATTTTGACTTTATTACGTTGAAAAAATGAGATCACAACATATTATTAGGCGCAACACTCGGTCGGTGACAAACTAGTAGGTATCACTTATATATGTATATATGTCTGATGATGTCATAGATAAAACATACACGGCCTTAGCCCAATAACGGTACAATAATAATAATATGGACTAATGGAATATTATAACATTATAATATTATTAACCTTTTGTCGATTATCAAATTTACAGGTAAACCAGCTCTACTCAGACCACACTACAATTATTATTCTGGCCCTGTGATGTGTCTCTAGAACCGCACCCAACTGCACGTACAAACACAATAGGCGTTGTACACAGAGTTTCACACATCTGTTTAGAAAAAACTAATATAATTCTGATAAAACACAAAAAAAAAAAATCCCGACAACTGAAAAAAATGGAAATCATAATATGTTTCCATTAATTATAATATTACATAAATTCCACTTGTACTTGTTTACTTACTAAATTGTGTTCATATAAGGGGAAACAATTTGATTTTCAAGTAGGTACACCTACTCTTTGTAATTATTTTTTTTTGATATCTATCTATTTGTTTGTAGCAATTTTAAATGTTTCCTGCTTTAATTATAGCAATAATAATATTATAGCGAATTAATTGTAAAAAAAACGATCAATTTATTGTCGAATAACGAGATAACGTTACTAATGGAGGAAAAAAAAATTTGATAGCTATCTATGGTTTCTGTTAGAATAAAATGTATAATTATTATTTATATTATGGCGAGTGGTGAATACTTAAAATGTAGGTAGGTAATAATATTAAAAACAAATTTGGAGAAAAAAATGATTTCAACGAGCATTGGTCACACTAATTTATTTGATATTGAATTTATTTTTTAACAATTAAAAAACAACCTATTATTTTACACGTTTTATTCGAATTATTTATCATATTATTATAATTAACGGCATAGGAGAGGAGAACAATAATTGTTCATAGAGAAGTATTATATTTAAAACTAATATTACTCGCCCAAGCTCAACTATGTTAGCGTTGTATGATAAACCAGTGGCCAAACATTCAATTATTACCGATATATTGTTTATCAAACAAATTATTATCGCTTCAATATAGTTAAAAATAAGTATTCGTTAAATTCGTCTTTTCAAAAGTATTTAAACAGCTCAATGGCCGATATGCGTTTGGTAACGACGACGAGTAATGTCGGTAACCTAACCGCCTGCGGTAACAGCGCGGTTAAAACCACAAACTTGTCAATATACATTTACGCGTTATTATCATCGCGCGTTATTAATTCGCGAGCACTTTATTATAAACGGTCGCGCGTCAGCGGCGGCGGCGGCCGTCAAGCGGGCCCGCCGCGGTTTCTGCCGACGGGCCGCGCCACCGTACGGTCCGCGACGGATATACCGTGACGTCACGGATACGGCGTGTACGCACACACATAACGGTGGGTCCCCACCGGCCGGGCGGACGGGCGGCGCGGGCGGGGGGGGGGCAAAACGAATAAACGCATACGACGACGACGACGCGCGCGCCGCACATTCTCCAGTGTTCAGTTCGCCTTCTGTCCGTTTGCCGGCCACAAGTGTCCCGTGTGTGTGCGCGCTCGCCGTTTGACGCTCTCTTCTCGTCGTCCCACAACAGCCGTCCACACAGCTCGTGCCACCACCCGCCGCCGCCATCCGACGCTCTCTTCGCGGCCTACAGTGTGCCGCCGCCGCCGCCGTAGTAGTGCATTGCGCGCGCGATTGTGTGTGTGTGTGTAATTGATTCTCACAATCTGTCCGGCGGCGTTTAGTTCCGCGTGTGTGTGCAGTGTTCACGTGATTGTTATTGAATTGACAATATTTGGATAATACGAACGATTGACGAGAAAAAAAAAAATTATTTTTTTAGCGTTATAATTTTTTTGGTGAAAAAAAAAAAAAAATTTCGGGTGTTTTTGAAAAAAAATTTTAAAACACTTTGTTTTGTGTCCGCGCGCGCGTGTGTGTGTGTGTGTAATATATGGTGCACCACGTTATATTTTGGATTACCCGTTAAAAGTCATCGTTGGATAACCGTTTGTAGCCGGTAAGTGTGAAAAGAAATTTGTTTCATTTAATTTTCGTCGCGGTAAATTTTTTTTTTTTATTATTTACTTTTCGTAAATAAAACGACAAGCCCGCGACGACGCGACCGACGTCGCGCGTACCGCGTCCCGTTTGTCGCAATGACCGTGTGTGTGTGCGTGCGTGCCGCCGCCGCCGAGGAGAGTGTCGGGCGGATGGGAGGAGGCTACGCGGTTCGGCAACCGCGTGTGGCGAATTTCACCGCGGCGGCCGCGGCCTAGTGAGCGGCCTTGCCTGCGGACTTGTATTATTATTATTGTGAAAACCGGTGGTGGCCGCCGCCGCCGCCGCCGCGATTCCACGTCTTCCGCCGCGCGGCTTGGCCTACATTTTGGCGCGGCGGCCGGCCGTCCGTTTTCCGGCGTCCGCGTCTTCCGTTGGCCGCCGCGGACGCCTTCCCCTACCCACCGTGCCGAATATCGTACGCTTTCACTGCGTTCGTGACGACGCAGAACTGCGGCCGCGAATTTCTATTTTGGTGGGGGGGGGGGTTTCTGTTTTGGGGTTTTTTTGGTTATTTTTTTAAAAAAACTCTGTGTCCGAGTTTTCAAAATAGGTCTTCATAAAAATATCTGCCATAAAAAATGTGTAAAAAAAAAAAATTAATGAAAAATTTAATCTCTTCTTTAAGCTATTTTTAAGATACTCTTCTTTGGGTGTCTTGAGTGTCTCTTAGCGCCTGTAAACACCGGATTTGATAAGCGTCTATTTATTAGTTATTGTTTGTTTGTTTTGGAGCGTGCCAAGGTCGGTTGAATAAACAAAATGTATGGTTTTTTTTTTGTTTATTCGATTGGGGTCAATGTCGTCGCTGATTTTTTTCCGATTCAATCTGTTATTATTGAAAATTATTTATTTTAACGATAAAAAAAAGGCAACATTTTCGGTCAATACGGTCTGCAAAGCAGTGTCTGTGATAATATGACCTTCCCGGGGACTTGTCCTCAATGTTTGTTAAAATACAAAATATTAGTATTACGCATAGCTCACCTTGGAGCAAATACATATAAACGGACTAGGCTTTTCCGGGTTTATTTTTTGCAGTTGGTTTTAGATAGAATTGTCATTAAAAATAAATATATATTAAAGTATATTTTCCATAAGTACATATATGTACTTGAACGATGTGCGGCGGCTGTAGACCGTGTTTCTTTTGTAGACTTTTCTCCAAAAAATCTCTGTTGGCTTTTTTACCATATCTCTCTGTGTCTGTGTGTTTTTTTATCTTTCTCCGTGTGTAATGTGTATATTAACTATTGCCTCGGCCTTGCCGGCAACCTCTACACACGGGCCAAGCTTGTCGTCATCACGCCGTGACCTCCGAGAAATCATAAAAAATATATATATATATTTATAAATGGTATAGATAATAGATTCATTCATTCAGATTTGTTGGGCGCAGCGGATAGCAACACTTATATTATATTAAAAAAAGGGATACCGTTTGTTCCCACGGGCGACGACGGTTAAGGGTTGGTTCCACCCTTCTTTTTTGTTCGGTGTGTTTACACGTTATTATTAGGGCCCCGTCCAAAGTCACAAACGCCGTGGGTTGTTTTTTTTTTTCTGTATTTTTACCTTTGCCCCAAAACCAGACTAATTATTTCTAATATATATATATATGTGTAGATGTGTTTGAATGGTACAGAGAAGGGTCTCTGTACCGTTAAAGTCTCTCGCGTTTCGCACTGAAAGAGTCATTTTTTTAAATTACCATACCATAATATTCAGACGCACGTTGTGCATGTGCATTTAAATATATTAAGATTTTTTGCCAAACAAGTTGCAGTAGACTATACCCAAACTTCTTAATCAGCTGTAGGGGACATGATGGATAGGTTAGGTTAGGTTAGGTTTGGTTAGGTTTGGTTAGGTTTGGTTAGGTTTGGTTAGGTTTGGTTGGTTAGGTATGTCTTATGGCATTCTGAACATTCGCCCGTCACGTTTTGTGTCACAGTGCTGACGTCATTATGGATTATGGAGGAGCGTGGAGAAATTATGGAGGAGTATGTTGGAGTATTGATGAGGATTACGGGGGAGGATCACGGAGGGATTATGGAGGTAAATCGATAGAGATATAGCGGATTAGAGCTACTGGATTGCAGGACATGTCCATGTGTATTGATGTATGAGTGTGGATACTCTTTGACTTTTCATTATGATATATCAATCGTTTATAAAAATTATAATATTTTTTTACTGACTTATGTTTTTTTTTTCTTCCAGAATGATATGCTAAGTGTCCGTCAACGGCTGTTGACATGAGACACGTGGAGTCCAGCGAGAACATAACCATTATGGACGAGATCGACGAGCTGTTGGGCACCCGCAGGAGTTACGGATGGAACTCCGGTTCCAGGCCGTCCATGATAAGCGCCAAGTACCGGCTGAAGGAGGAACGGCGCAAGGTGTTGAAGATCTCCGTCAACAAGATGAAGAAAATCGACGACGCCGAGAGCTCGCTGTGCCGGTCGGTGTTGATCAACAACACGGTCAAGCGGCTGCAGGCCGAGACGCGGGACGACCGGACCACCGGCCGGACGTCGCCCGCCTCGCCGCCGTCGCCCACCTCCTACGGTTACCACACGCCGCAGCAGCAGTCCTGCGGCGGCAGCCTCAACAACAACAGCAACATCAACAACAACAACAACAACAACAACCACCACAACCCACAACTGGTGGACATCACCAACCTGAGGGAGTCGCCCAAGTCCAACGTGGCCGCGGCCAACAAACCCGCCGACTCGGCGCTCGATCCGACGTCCACGACGACCACGTCGTCCACGGGCGTGTCGTATTCGTACGGCGACGACGACGACACCATCACGTCCATCATGATGCAGTTACCGTCCACCGCCAACCCCACCATCACCACCACCGCCACCACCCACGTCACCCCGGCCGCCTCGTCGCAGACGCCAAAACGGAAACGGTCCGTGGACGAGCCGCTGGACGACCTGCTGTCGCAGTTCATCAACAGCGGCAGCGGCGGCGGCCACCGCGAGGACGAGGACGTCAACGTGGTCGACCTGGACCTGCACGAGTACCCGGCCGCCAAGAGACTGAGGACCGACGAGGCGGCGGCCGCGGCCGCAGCGGCGTCCAATACCGACTGTTGGACGCTGATGGACTCGTGTTGCGACGCGCTCGACCTGTACGGCGGCCAGGTGCCGGCCGCGGTCGAGCACCAGGACGTGCTGTTACCGGCCGCCGTGGTCACGGCAGCCGCCGCGGCCGCTGCGGCGGCGGCCGCCAACAACTGCAGCAACAGCCACCACACGTCGTCGGCGTCTGCAGACTGCGGCCAGCCGCCGTCGTGCCAGCTGCAGACCGACGACCACTACGGCACCGCCGGCAGCGGGTCGACGTCGCCCACGAACCTGTCGTGCGGACAGGCGTCCATGTTCAGCGAAATGCAGTCGGCCATGTTCCGCAACCTTATAGCGTCCTTGGAGTCATAGAAAAACCGCGGTCTTTTTGAAAAAACATAGGTTTTTTTTTTTTTTTTGGTTTGTTTTTAATTCACTTAATCTCCTATAACTATTTTCTTGTTTACAATTTTTTTTATTATGTTTACACCACCATATTATACAACAATTATGGTCCACGCGACTACTTAGAAAAAAATAATAATCCTTTTTTTTTTTTTGTTTTTTAAACGTGCAATAAACGACCAACTCGCGCAAAAACCATTGTTTTTTTTTTAAATTTAATTTTGTTCTCTCTGTACGACTATAATTATATATATATATATATATATATACCTACTCATTATATTGTAACATTACGATTTTTTTTTTAATGTTTTTCAACTGAAATATTATGTGTAAATATTACAATAATTTGTACATACATGTATGTTAATTCGTGTAACTGTAGATAATCAAACAAGGGCTGTGTCAAATTCATCCAATCGGTCTCTTTTTTTTTTTATTGTTTTGTTTTTTTTTTTTATATACAAAAACAAAATTAAAAAAAGAGCATTATATAAAAAAATATATATATATATATATATATATTATGTATATTATAATAATTATTAATGTTATTATTATTATTATTATTATTATTATTAAAAACCAACATAGACAATATTAAACAATTATTATTATTATTATTATGAAGTAGAAAATTTAATAAAAAAAAATTATTAAAATCTCCAAAACCGATTGGGTAGGCTAATATTATTAATAGTGTAATAAATAATAGTATATTTTGGTAGTGATAGTACAAACGCAAAAAAAAAATTAACTTAAAAAAAGGAAAATCCTATAAATAGGTCGTTTAGGGGTATATTATGTCGTTTAGGTAAACACCACACCAGCCTTAGGGGAGAAGCCCATAAGGGAGGGGAATAACTTGTCTTGGACGAACCTGTTTTCCTTTTTTTTTTTTTCAAAAAACATACACCCAGTTGTTTTTTTTTTTTACTCTAAGACTATCTATGATTTTTTGCTACCGGTAGATTATTTTTTTTGGTTTTTTTTTTTTTTTAGTGCGATTACATTTTCAAGAACAGTCTTCCGGACTTTTTATTGTTTTTTTTTTTTTTGACATTTCTTAACGGTGTGATATATATTATATATTTAATAGCGGTTTTTTTTTTAGTGATAATATTAAAAAAAAAAAAAAACGAACCAGTATATAAATATTATGTAGTACATAAAAGCGCATACAAAAAAAAAAAATTGTAAACACATTTGTTATCATTCAAAGACAAGCGTACCTCCTTCTACTATACACTTAAGTCGTCCAGGAGTAGTGTTACAACACTGTTTAGTATTTCTTAAAAAATAAATAAATCTACTACCCCCTCCCCTAACCCCCCCTCCCCAATGGAAACTCCACCGCGATATTACTCGAAGTCTTCCTTTATATTATTTAATATTATTATATAATATAATATTCGGTTTTTAAATTAATTAATTTCGTTTTTTTTTTTTTTTGTTTAAACAACGAACGACATTTTTCACACTATTCATCATATAAATAAACGCAAAACGATGTTACCCGGGTGATAAAAAAATTTTAATTAAAAAAAAAAAAAACAAACAATAATTGTAGAAGGATACGTTTATAAATAAATATTATATATAAATTGTAACGATAACGAAGAAGAATGGGGAAAAAAATTTGATATATTTTATTATAATATTGTGTAATTATTATTAAAAACCAAGAAAATATATTATATTGTATTTTTTTTTTTTTTTAGAGCTTTATTATAATATACCGATGAATGTAATGATGATATAATATATATATATATGATATGATAATAATATATATGTGTTTGTGACAAAAACGAAAAACATGTTCGCCAATAGATGTTGTTTTTGATTGAATATTGTTTTTTTTTTTTTTTTATGTATAAAATATCTCGAATGATAATACATATATATAAATATATATAATACATTTTGTTATTCCTTTGAAACGCCTTGTGTTTTTTTTGTTAATTTTCTATCCTTAAACCAATATTAACCCTTCACTGCATATATTGATAATGGTTAATATTGTTATTTTGTTATAGCAACCTAAAAACCGACTACGGTCAAAGTACGGTTTTCTCTTATTTTTTGGTTTTTCCTTAATAAAAAGTTTCGAGGAAATTGTATATGGTATTTTACCATTATTCTAGATCTACCTTTGGTCTAGTTTTCATCCATAAACCACTAAGACTGCACATGAATAAGCAAAAGAAATAAATTCCACCTCTTCTATAGGAAAAAGGGTGAAAGATAATTGTTCAGGTTCTCTACCTTGCATATTCAGAACTAATTGGTTTATTTTGAAATTAATGTGTTTTTCTCCACATTGAAAGGGAAGGGATGAACTTTAGTCTAATAAAGTGCCTTACAGGTAGGATTTCCGGATTCTGAGCTCTATGATATTTGTGATAATGTATATTTAATGTCTACAAGACATTTAAGTAGCTTAAATAGCGTTTGATAATACATTATTCGAGTGAAAGTTAATTGGAATAATTTCTAAACAGTTTGTAAGCGCTTGTTTAAAGCGATTTTTGGTTTTTTTTTTTTTGAAATGGCAACACATGTTTTTAATTACATAAGTTTGTAGTAAAAAAAAATATGTTAGCGTTTGAATTTTCATTTATTTGTTCATTTTTTATGACTTTATAATGATTTGATTTTTTTACTGTATTTTTTAATGTTTTCATAATGTTTTACTACAAAGACTAGTAGTTTTATTACAAATAAACTTGACGTGTTACCGTACTCTGTATCATAATCAGATATAATAAATAGTCTAAGAATCTAAGTAATCTGTACAGATAAGTACCGTTTGTCTATTATTTTATTTCAAAATACTATCATACTTGTGACTATTCCTAGTTGTTAGAATGTTTTGGCCATTTAGACAATGCGAACATAAATATGAATTTTATGTGCTGTCAGCTTTGGAAAACCTAAGAAATATGATAACATTATTAAGAAGAAATGTATGGTATATTTACAAAGTCATAGCTAATGAACAGAGAAATGAAAATGGAAAATTCAAACGCTAACATATTTATATAATTTTTTGTCTACAAATTTATGTAATTAAAAACATGTTGCCATGAAAAAATAAAAAATTGTACAAACTATATTATAATATTCCGAGTTGCTACTTCTATAAGACTGTAATGTAATTAATAATAATAACAATAATACCTAATTAAATATTTAATTACTCTCGACCGTCCAACGGCGTTTAGGAGGCCAACTTTGGGTGATAATAATGTTGTGTGAACAAAATAAAATATATATTATAGTATAATTATATAGTATAATATTTAATAGCAAATTATTGACGATAACGAGAGTTTACTTACCTGAAGATAATTTTTTCGGTTGTGTTCCAAAGTAAAGACATATGTCTAATCTCTTATCTCTTATCTCTCTTACCTTATCAGATAAATCGGCTGTTATTTTCGTTATGATAAAAAAAAAAAAAACAAAAATGTCGATTTTTCCTTGTGTGTGTGTGTGCCAAAGCAAAGACATAAAAATGTCAAAAAAATTAATAATAACGCACGTTTATTGGTTACAAATAATAATTACAATAGATCGGTTATTGCGTTGTGTGTGTGTAAAGTCAGAACAAACATTATAATATATACTAATAATTATTATTACAAACCTAACCGAGTAGTACCTACTACTAATTCAATTGGTCCGACGTTTGGTTTTTTTTTTTTTTACTAATTTGTTAAGTGGGTCGCGCCATGTGTGTGTGTTTTTTTTACTGCGCGTTATAATGGCTTAATGTATACGGCGTGTAATGTCTATAGGTATATGTAAGTTTTGGTTGATTTGTTAAGTACAATAACAGACGCGCAGGTATATGCTAATTATTATACGGAAGTGACCGAGATTGGGCGAAATGCCCCCGCACAAAGGGCCGCTATTTTTAACAATTATAATAGTTTCCACAAAAAAAACAATATTGAAAAAAAAAATTACCATCTGAATGCAGGCTTAAAACGAAATTTATTTTTGTTAAAAATTACAGACTGTGTAAACGACTTACATTCTCCTATGTCCGGTTGCACTAAACTTGTCGTTATCTAATCTGGTAAATGACTTACCTACCATCTTAATAAACTAACTTTTGTTAAACTTAATCTTTTGTTAAATTTACAAACGTTGCTCAATCGTTGTTTTATATTTTGGTTATTACCAGTACACTGGTTACCGAATAACTGGTATCAGCGGTAGGAGTTAATATCATATTATTATCATACAGGGTCTTATCAATGATATACTTTGTTATCAATGATAAAACATTGATAACAAACGTTTAACTATACACACATTTTTACACATCCATAAATGACCCTGTTATTTAATTGTAAAATCTAAAAACACGGTTTGTGCAACGAATAAATTTCAACTCCAGTTAAAATAGTCTTATCTCTGTGTTGTAAATATTTGGTGCAACCCGGCGGCATAAGTATCAAATTGTTTACACAAAGTTAGGGATTCCAAAAATGTATATATAATACCATAATATTGGTTGTACCAAAACGCAGTATGCAATAGGTTTCGACGAAAGACAAGTCTTATAGGTCTTATGTTAATAATTCATCAAATACCATTAAATATTTGTACCTGCCCGTCTGGGCTGCGTTAGACGAATGTCGGAGGCCACCCACACTGTATAATTTATAATAATAGTTACCAGCCGAACGCGCGATTGGTATCGTTTGTACGTCGTTTATTTGAGTTCACAGTCGACACAAAGTATATTATTACAAATATTTAGGTCAGACAATATTATTATGCGTATGTGTGTATTATTAATTATTATATTATTATATTATTTTATTGTTACATCATACGACATGTTGTTATCATTGTAATGTAAACTGTCATGTAGGTAAGTAGGACTATTTTGATAACAGATAAAATATGATAAGAGATAACATAATCTCGATTCACGTTATACTTTCACTTTCAGTTAAAAATAAGTGATAAGAGAAAAGAAAAATGTGACAATATCTGATGACGAAATTTTTATATTAAAAATGTTTTATTTAAGTATAGAATTTTAATTTTCTTCATACCGGTGTAACAATGCATAATTGAAATTCGTTGATGCAAAATAAAAATATGCAAATATGTAAAGGGAGTAAAAACCTGGTTGCGACTCTGAAAAGGCCTAACGGTTAATAACTGTTGTGGTGATAGCTTACACCAGGAATAAAATTATATTTTTTTAATGTATTATTAATTCAGTTTGTTCTAACCCTTATTAGTTATCCGTTAACCTAACCGTAATTGAGGCTATTATAATTTTTTATTATTATTAAAAGCTGTGATTAATTTTTTTATATTCATTACATATTAGGCATAGCTTGAAAGAGGACCTGAAAAGGTATTGATTTTACAATACCTAGGAAATGAAATACATTTACTTAAATATTTCCATGCGTGTGTATTAGTTGGTCTATGCGATAAAACAACTGTAAAAATAGATAAGAGTTAAGTGATAAGAAATTAGAGATAACTGATAAGAGATCCAACAACCAAGTGTTGTAGACTATGTTGTGATCTCATTTTTGGCAATAACGTTAAATAGAAAATAAGCGATTCAACGACAATTATTATTATTTACATTGGTGTTATTATAATTATTACACAAATATTATGCTATTGGGTTGGATACAAAAAAAAATCGTGTCGCCGTTTTGTGAATAGATAAAATGTTATAAGAGATAAGTAATAAGTGATAAGAGATAACATATCCATAATTATGGACGTTTCATTTCTAAAATCTTTTTGAATTTTATACAATCTTACTAATTACACATCACGGTTTAACGTTTAAATTAAGATTTTGTCAGATTTTTCAAACGGTTTTCTTTTCTATACAATTTTCTTTTACGGTAATTTGCGTGCAAACAAATTAGACACGCCGTCGCCACCACTAACACCATCACAGCTGGGAAACGGTAAAAATGTATTGTGATTTTTCAAAGCGGCAACAACACCACGCCTACATTTGTTATAAGTGATTGGTTAACCGTTGCAGTCGGTATTTAGATTGCGGTGACTGTTGTCGCTGTTCACAAATGCTTTTTGTTTTCCTTATTGTTGCTCACTACACAACCGGCTTTATTGTCTGAGGACTTTGTCCAAGAACTGCACACAAATATACTTATTTTTTTTTAATTTCAACCGACCTTGTTTGTCTCGGTCTGTCTCTGTCTCTGAAGAGTTTTATTTTACTTAAAAAAAAACGGTCCCTTATAAGTTATTTTATAAACCAAAGTACAATACTAATTGTACCTTGTTAAAACACAGTCTTACAAAGTAAAAAAATATTGCCATTACTACTTTCAAGTGTTGTAATATTCTCAAAAATAAATACATCTAGAAAAATAGTTTGCCAAAATTTGGAATTCGACCCTTTCTGTGTCTAATAAGCGTCTCAATGGCTTTTTGCTAAGTACTTAAAAGTACTTAAGTAATTTAATAGACCGTTTTGGCTTTTGGTCGCAAGAAGTCCAATGTCATTTTTCAGCAAATTACTAAATCTTAAATTCTAAATGGGGCTAAAATCAGGATTTCTAATGTATACATTTATTTCTTCAATCCAAGTCAAAAAACAAACCTTCCATTACATAAATTGTATATTATACACCAATTATTGCAATGTTTACAGAAAACAATAATTGTATTAAGTAAATCAGATTAAACAAATTCTTAAAATTCGCAATATAAATGTGTTGAATCTGACTTGACGGCCTCCTCGAAAAAGATAATGTATTTCAACTTTCAAGTTTAAAATTCTTAGAAGACAAAATTAAGTTAGGCCAACAAAACCTCTAAGTTTTTACAAGTGTAAGAGTGCTTAAGTACAGTATTTATATAATGTTAATAAAATACAAAAGTCTAAAGGGGGCAATTTTTTTTTGTCATTAAAACGTTTATGGCGACCTTTGGGGTTTAAAACGCCAAGAAAAAAAAAATTCAAGTTAAGTAGCTAAAACTAATAGTTAATAGTTAACGTTTTTCATTTTTTTTTTGTTTTTTTAAGCGCAGAATCTAAAAGTTAGTGCTGACTTTTTTTTGGAGGAAATGTCATATGCTTAGATTCATTTATTAGTTTATTCGTTATTTGGCCTGATGTGTAAATGACTGAAAAATGATTTGAATTTCTAAAAAAAAAAAAAAATACTGTTACACACACGGGTATCACAAGTATATAGGTAAGTATATAATGACTTCCGGGAAGTTGTCCACACGTATTGGGGATCAATTGTGAAAATTATCAGAGCGAATAAAGCGACCTGAACAGAGTAGTTGCACCAATCATTAGCATATTATATAGATTGTTAAGACATATTCTACAGAACGGCAAACACTCAAAGCAATCGCTTAAGTACTCACCAAGTATTATCTAATGAAAAAAAAAAAATTGTCCAAAATTTAGTGTTATCTATTTTCCGCACAAGTATTCGATTCAATAATGGTATTAATTTTTATTTCAAGTGTTGTGACCCCAATATGAATGTGTATTAGATTGGCTTATAGTTTTTTTTTTTTATCAGCGTGGTTAAGTGTTAATAGTGATACACCCCAAATTTACAAGCTTAATAACAAAAACTATTGCAATTATACATTACCTCGTTGGACTCTTGGGCTAACCGAAATACCTACATGCATCAACAAGTATCAACTATATTATATTGTGTTTTGTACTCATTGTGATGGTTGTTGTTACCTACTAAATAGTGTTACAAGTGTGCTAATATTACTACTACTACTACTATTACTACTGTACGAACGAACATTGTGCAACCGTCCATAGTTCTTAACCCTATACTAATCTAAGGTATATTAGCAGAGAACAATAATAATAATTAATTAAACCTACACGGTTGGAGTGCATGTGTGCAAAATCTGCGCATTAACTTCAAAGGTTAAAAAATAGAGCCATAAAGATATGGAAAACAATTACACAATTTTTAATTAGCCACTGTTTTGTCGTTCTATAAATAATTAATTATAGTAAATAAACCACCGATAAAGATGCTTCAGAATTGGTGAAAATTACTAACTGGCAGTGTATATTACTATCAGTTAGGTTTTAAATTTGTTGACAATTCTCGAGGTATTTACAAAAAAAACAATAATAATTATGACAATGATCGGACAACGTTCTTGGAATTCATTTTTTAAAGCAAGTACTCGAGATAACCTTAGTAGGTGTATATTTGAGAAAAACAAAAAATGTTTTTAATGCAAATAGGTAGGATTTCGCAATGTCCTATGTATTATTGTAAAGTATGTTATAGATTAATATTGTGCGGTTAGAGTATTATTGAAAAAAAAAACTCAAACATTGTTGAAGTGGTGTTTTGCCGATAATATGTAATCTAGAAATGGGCTTAAGAAAATTACTATTATTGATTTCAAGTTATTGTGTCTCATAAGTAATAGGTCTTCATCTCACAGTCAGTGTGCTATACACCTTGACTTTGCCAACTACCTAGCAAGAAGACACAAGTAAAATAGATCAGAAGTAAACGTCAAAAATATCAGAAAATATGCAATTCGTTCTGCTGGGTTTCACGCTGCTTGTCGGTAAGTTTGATATGTGTTATTGTTTTTTTTTTTTTTAAATATTATTACACCCGTGTTTGGGCAATCCGAGTGTCTTCCTTTGGCATCAATCCAAGTTCATTATCTCTTCTGTGTGGTTTCAGACGGGCAGGCTTCAATACAGGTGTTTTCCAATATTTTAGAATAGTTTAAAACGTTTTTGACGGCGAGCAATCTTAACAACATTATCAGCAGGTTTCACCAACTATTGCTAAATACAATGTTAGTAGACAATTTATTTAAATTTAACATCCGGTTAAAATAAATATGTTTCACCGTAACATTATTATCGTCAAACTTTATTTGTTAAGTTAACAAAATGTTAGTTGGGTTACCAAAGCGGTTACCTCGATTCCAACGTTCTCATTGGTTATTAAGATATTATATGATAAGTGATTGTATGATTTAATTTGTCAGTTTGTTATTATTTGGCATTTTATTTTACTTTCTTTTAACGTTTCGGTTTATATTAATAATTTATAAATAATGTTTAGAAACACATTGTTTAATGAGTCTATACTTTTCTAAAAATAGTTTGTCATCCAAGGTCTTTCAAATAATTTTTTCTATTTCGAAGGCCTAAAAAAAAGTTGGTAGTGATAAGAATTATTTCCGTTGTTATACTCAAGACAGACAAGACATAATAATATTATCTAAATTACAAAATACAATAAATTCAGATAATTTATGAACCTATAACGCAAGTCTGTGCCATTCCTTTTTACCTAATCTGCCTACATAAAATAACTTTTGCTTACCTAACAAAGGGTTATCGAAGTTGTCTTTTCTATTGTTCTCTAAATACTCAATATGAATAAGTTTCTCGTCAAATGTGTTATTATTATTATATATTACTAGTATACTCAATCAACAAAAATGATAAAACAATTTCTGAACTAAAACAATATAAATATTATACGTAAGTACTACAATTCATTTTAACATGCCGATTAACTTTTTAACAGGCTGATTTCGAGTGATTAATTTAACAATCGTTTTAACAATGTGTTAAGGCTAACAAATCTCGATGAAACCCAATTTTCACTAACTAGTTGTAAAATACAATTAACAATAAGTTAAATTCTTAACAAATGTTGGTAAAACCGGCTGATTATAATATTCTGGTACTAAAGTAGAGCTTGCATCATGTCTAGACAGCTACACAGGCTATACTTTGTACTATGTATTTTATTAGCACAAAAACCGAGCTTTCAAAATCTAAAACGATATTGGCCATTTCTCAAATAGATTATATTTTGAAAATCGTTAAACAAGCGGGAGAGGTGCTAAGTGACTTAAGGCCTGCCTGTGCTTTTTTTTTCATTTTGTGGATTATTAATAACTAATAGGCGAGACGCTCTCAAGGTTATCTAACCGAGGTTACTTGTTATAAAGAAAATAGAATAGTTTTATTCGCGTTAATTTTAAGTATTCCTTTCGGCAGTCGAGATGGTTATAAACACAGATTAAGTGTTTAGGAAACGCGGACCGCAACAGAATTAACCGCCTACCTTCTTATTCCAGTGGCAGTAAAGATTTAACACTTATCGCTGTTTAAGATAGAGCATTCTGAAAAAAAAATTTAAACAAAACTTTAATAACCTCAAGTCAGTGTAATTAGAAAATGAAAGAAGAAAAAATTACCCTCCTGTTATATACAGTGTGGTCGAAGAAATTTTATCAAACATCTGTAATAATATGTTATCACCGCATCAACCATCGTTAACCGACTACTCGTTATCAGTATTTCTTATCAGTTTACGTTATTATTGTAAATAGTGTGTACAATATTTTCAGCACGTTAAGTTGGCCCTACTGCATTAAGAAATCGTTAATTGAAAATCTATTGTTTCACTAAGAAGTGCACACTGCATCTGGTTTTGTTTAATCTAATATGCTAATACCGTCAATTCTTAACACTTTTTTTGTAGCTTTAGTTTGAATAACCAATAAGCAATTTGTGTTTCTATATTAGACCACCTCCTCCAGTCTGCAATCGGTTTCCCTTAGACGGATTTGTGATAATAATATTAATTCATCAGTCGTGTAAGTACAATTATTATGTTGCAGTGGGTTAGCTTCGTCAAACCGACGTGTCAGTTGGACCGTTTACAGGGTGTCCCATTTTAAAATACTAATCCAATCAAAAAGTCGCTTATTAGCGTACAAAGGGGGGCGTAAAAAAAAATTATGGTCCAAAATTCAAAATTACCGACTTACGGTCAAAAACATGTTTTTTTTAATGGAAACCATGTATTTTTTGTCAGCCAAACCATTGATTTTAGAATATACAAAAATTTATATTCTAAAATCAATGGCCAAACAAAGTTTCTTATCAAAACTAACAACTTTTGTAGGAAAATGTTTTTTCGGTAAAACTCATAATTTGTAAATTAAGTATCTTTAGCTATTTTTAGTTTTGTTATTTTATTTTTATGCAACCGTGTCATGTGTGGTAACCATGGTATGTGTTGTCACCGTGGTATGTTTATTGTTTCCTAACCTAACCTAACCTTACCATTACATTATCATTGTATTTATCGTTAAGGTTATCCTTCTTTTCCGTGTATGACAAAGACAAAAACCATGGGTACCACACAAACCGTGATTATCACACATACCAAGGTTACCAAATGCATCAAAAATAAAAGTAACAAAACTAAAAACAGCCAAAGAGACTAAATTTGATTGGATGAGTATTTTTGGAGAAAAATGGATTAAAATAGTATTTTAAAATGGGACACCCTGTGAATGTGTAAGTACCCGCAGATTGTTTTAGTTCGATCCGAATATATATGTATAAATGTATGTATTATATTTTTGTCGGTTTTATGTAATTTTTGAATAACGTCCAATATATTTTATAATATACACTATATGACGTGTAAAAAACCCATTGGAGTCCTTCTACCGCGACGCGTGTATCGGACGGATGGCGTGTAGTGTTAAAAATAGGCGCGATACTTGCCGTATATGTACCGAAGCTGTGTACGATATCGATCTAAAGCCGCTGATATTTTCTCTTGTGCTATAATAATAATTGTTCATTCTCTCTCTCTCTCTCTCTTTCTTAGAGAGTCGGTCTTCTAAACGATTGTCGTATCAAGAGTATAGATACACTGTGCACTATTCATATGCGGCCGTTGACCGTTGCAACTGCACCGGTATTTAACCCTCCACTGCGTGAATTTTTTTATTTTTATGAAAAAATCAGGAACGATTATGATTATAATAAAAATATATATTATGCCATTTGTATGTGTTTACTGCACTCTATTGATTAAAAATATCGTTTTGAAAATCGATAGTTCAGTTATTTTTCCTACATATAGAGACGCAACAAAATTTAACCTAACCTAACCTAACCCAACCTATCCTAACCTAACCCAACCCAACCTAACCTAACCATAATCGCTAAATTATATCAATACAAATAACCTAATGCACATATGCAGTGCAGGTTTTTTTCAACTGCATATACATTACAATATTAAGTCGTTGTATTGGAGAACTGTTGTTATAAAAAAACAGTAATAAATAATCATGATCCCTTTATTTAGGCAAAGGATGGAAAAATACTTTGGTTCTCTTAACCAATACCAGTTAGTAAGTTATTAAAATTATTGTTTTCTGTTGTTAAATTAAACAATATTTGTATAAAATTGTAATATAATAAACACTCTATTAAGCTTTTGTTTGTTTAAAAATAAAAATTATACTATTAGGTATTTACAGTTTACACTATTAAGTCCATTTAAAATTAATATATATATATATATATATATATAAATATATATTTTAACATAATAAATAACAGATAAATACATATTTTAAGATCATAAAATACATTTATATGCTATTCAATAGCAAAAAGGTTCTGAATTTAAAATTAAAAAAGAAAAACAAAGCTGTATTCAAAAAAACCATTATTACCAAAAGACATAGCCATGTAATAAAAAAAAACAGTTATTTTCTCTGCTCTGCGGAAAAAAATTGAATCATGGATATGTTATCACTTATCAAAATGGCGACATGAAATTTCTTGTATCTAGCCAAATAACGTATCAATGTTAGTATAATAATACTATTGTGAATAACAAATGTCGTTAAATCGCTTATTTTTTATTTAACATTATTCCCAAAAATGAGATCACAACATAATATAAAACACTTGGTTGTTGATCTCTTAGAAATTATCTCTAATCTCTTATCACTTAACTCTTATCTATTTTAACAGTTGCTTATTTTTACATCTTTAATATCTGATCACTCATCTCTAATTTATAAACTCTTATCTTTTATCACTTACCTCATACCTCTATTCTCTTATCACTTGTTACGCGAAAATGACTACATTTGTATCCAGCCCAATAGCACTTCCATGTTAATATAATAAACGAATCGAGTTCACTCAAAAAAAGGACCCAACTTGATTTTTATACATTTCACAAAAGGCGGCTTTATCGATTGATTTTATATCCAGAATTGTGGAAATTATTCTCTTCCCGGATTGTTCACTTGGTAGTCGATTAGAATCGAGTCCGAAAATACTTGGTAACCTTTCAAATCTCCCAGGAACGAACAAATGTATTCTCTGTATTTCTGACAAACTATTCCAACTGTAAATTTACTAAATTAATATTTCGTCAGGTCACGTTAGTGCTTACCGTGGATATCTAATTAATACAGGTGTTGTCATTGTCGCAATAGATTAAAAATAATTATGCACGGTTTACACGGTGTTTAGTATACTTGTCGGTCGTGGAAGGGATGGCCGCTTGTCGTTAGTGAACATATGTGTATAACTGATGATGATTAGTGCTGTTTTTACCCGTTTACACGTGTGGTATTAATGCGAGCAAAGAGTACTCTAATGGTTGGTCACGAGCATCGTGTAAACCGGCCATTTATAATAGAATTATTCGGCGAAATCGGCACAGAGTCGAGCTCTGATTAAATTAGTTTTCCAAGAGCTGTTAATCATTGATTTGCGTACTATGCTGGACCCACGATACACCGCCTTAGCCCATTTTTCCTTCTAGCGACCAAATAGATCAGAAATCACACCTGTAAGGTACTTTATTGGGCTTAAAGTTCACCTCTGCCCCCTTGAAAATCGAGGAAAAAACACCCATAACATTTTCAGCGTTCCATAACGTTTTTAAAAATAGTCTAATTAGTTCTGAATTTTTTGAAAGTCTCAACAATAGAAATGTGACCTCCGCACTATGCCCTGTTCCCTTTGTACTGTTTACATGGTTATGTTTTTGGGCTGGACACGCGAAATTGTAATCCTGAGGTGTTACCAATGGGTGGCTTCCTCGAAATCTAATTATTCAAACTATGTGCATATCCTCGACAAAAAAAAAACTTATTGTAAAGAGTTTTGTTAATATAGAGAATAAAAAAAAAAGTAATTTTCGCGAAACAATATTAAAAAATGTTAAGTGATAAGAAATAAGAGATATGAGATAAGTATTATGAGATTAGAGTTAAGTGATAAAAATACAAAGGATAAGAGATAAGACATATTCCTGATTCATTATTTACGAATACCATTATTGTTGTTGTTAAGAAATCGTATGTAAGTACTCTTTATGGTATTGGGAAGTATGTCTTGTCGTTTCTGGCACAACCTATGGACATTAAACAGCCCACTTGTTTTTTTTAAATGTATTTATTAGTTGTAATATATGTATATATATATATTTATAATTTGACTGTTGTTTAAAATCTTGTTTGAAATGAAGTAAAATGATTTACCCGTTTTTTATGTTTTTTTTCTAAGTACATTATTTTAATTTCAAGGTGCTTACGCGTCGACAGAGAACACTTACGAATACATGTTGGACTCATTGAGCGAGATCGACGACGGTGCCGCGGTGGACTACGATAACACAGAGTCGTCGGCAAATTCCGATATGGAAAACGACGTTTTCTTTTGGCTTTACAACAGGTAAGCGAACAAAAAAACAAAGGAAAAATTAGAGAATTGGATAATTTCAAAATACGGTACAGCCAGCGCCATCTGTCCGGCGCGGCAGTAACTGTAGATCTTAACGCGCGTTGTCTTATTGTACAGAGAGAGCGAAGACAATCATTCTGGCCACCGGTTGATTCCGGGAAAACTAGACGTCTTGCGGTCGTCTCAGTACAGAGCCAACCAGACCACGAAAATCATCATACACGGTTGGCTGGGCAACACCGAGGATGCCCAAAGTTTATGTGTCACTTTCAAAAAAGGTGGGCTGAGAATTTTATTTTCCCTAAACTTTTAGGTACACATTTTACTACGCCATAAATTCATGGTAGCATGTAAAATTCATTAATATATCATTATTATGTGCTACCGGCTTTGGAAAACCAAAGAAATATGATAGTTATTATGAAGAAATGTATGGTATCTTTACAAAGCCATAGCTAATAAACGGATAAATGAAAATGAAAAATTCAAACGGTAACGTATTTTTTAAAATTTTTTGTCTACTAATTTATGCAGTTAAAAACATATGTTGCCATTAAAAAAAAAAAAAACCAAACATCCCTCTTATTGGCCTATGAGGATTAGTGATAAAAATTTTCAAAATATTAAAAAATTTAGTAAAATATGTACCTTTTAGTTTAGGAAAAAAAAATTCTCAAAATTTAAATATTTTCAGAGAAAATGAGTGTCTTACGTTAGTTGGATCACCCTGTATATATAAAAGAGAGAGAATTCAAGGTTTTGGTCGTTTGCCAAAATAAAGTTAAAATGGATAAACTAGATTCCAGGCAATTATAACAATATCGTTACAAAATAACACACATTCTTGTGTTTTCTTGCCTAAAGCAATAGCAATTCATAATTGTATACATAGGAATAACCAGGAGAGGGGCCACTTTTAGCCCCTTCCCCCCAAAAAAACACTTAAAATATGAAGGAACAATTTCAACAAATAATTAAAAAGAGAACAACTCGAATACTAATCATTTATTAATTTTATATGACAAAACACAGTGTACAGAAATATCATTATGTCAAACCAAGTAAGTGCAAATATTTTGATAAAAACAAGGTGCGATTAATAATTGTATTAATTATTAATTTTAAAACAAATTTAACACTATTCGCAATCAAACGCTGATAATATTATAAGCAATTTAAAAAACGACATTTTGGTTTAGAAATCAATAACTTGTGATCAGTGTGGAGCACAGATAACAAAAAAAAATATCTAGATAAGAAAAACATAACTTTACCTAACCAGTTGGGTTGATTTTTAAAAAAAACGTGTCCAACTTAAAATATGAGTAGGTGTTTATCTAGCTAACTCTCAGCACTGCTTGGAATAGCCAAAAATTCATCAGAAAAATTGACGAATGACCGAATAACATCAAAGTTTATTTTCAAACGACCGCCAAAAGGCTTGTCTCAATGTTATAATTTCTGCTTAGTTCGTTAAAAATCTTCATTCGCTCTGCAATATATTCTGTGGAGACGCTGCCGGATGACCTTACCGATTTTGTTTTACATCCAAATCCTCGCAAATAAATATCGTCCATATTTTTCGACAGCCATTGTTTTATTTTCTTGTTAATCTTCACATCAGTGCTTCGGTTCGCTGGCCTGCTGCTAATCACATACTCGAGAAAAACTAATTTTAAATCGTCGTTCAATTTTAAATATTTAATACTGTCATTAACATATTTGGCCATCGCACTATTCAAATCACTTATTTGCTTAACAGCCACACCGTGATTGCTCCAAGGAAGCCATAGTCTGTGTGGTTGTTCTTCTATGTCCGTCACAACGGGCAAAGACTAGTCTAGACAAGCTAATTTTAGTTAACGTCAAGTGTTTCCAAACGTGGTTGAACAATATCAGTTTTACTAAATCCGTAAACATGCTTTGCGATTTTGACAAGGTCTCGATCAATTCCTTAACCGAGTCGAATTTTCTTTTTTTGTAAACATTTTTTATTCCAGAGTACATACGTTCCCATTCGGGCATCTCTGCAAAGTCGACCAGCAAATGCTGGACTTGTTCTTTTTGCCTCCAAATACCTTCCATGCGCAAGTGCTGGCCAGAAAAGTATGAACGACAATTAGTGTCGATCATCGTAGTGTACTGTTTGTATCTTTTATCAAATGATTCTTTCAACGTTGCTATTGAGTCAGCTATTCTGGACTGTGCGTTCAAACCGAGTGCTTCCAAACGATTGACAAACTCGGACTTTTGGCAATTCTGCTTATTTTGCATGTCTACAAGTCGCTCGTAAATAGTCTGATGGTCTTTCATGATACCAAGCCGCTTGGATATTATTCGATTGGCGGAGACACATTTCCATTGCGACGAACGCTTCCCAGCAGCAATACGGTGCACTCTATTTAAAACGTTTAATATTTTCACTTACTTTTCTACTAGCTAAAGGCAACGATTGGGGACAATTGAAGTTTGTTGTTGCTATTCAAAAAAGGCCAAGCGCAATATTTAAACTAGGTTGTTGTTTTCGCACTATTTTTTATTGTACCTGCGTGTTTCATTGCAGTTGGCTTGACGTGAGCTGTCATTTCATTTGTAAATATATATATGTGTGTATAGGCTGTATAGTGTCGAAAAGATAGTGGAAATAATAATGAAACACCGTCTAACTAACATACTAAAAATCCCATTCTCACCTCCTCTGCTAAAATGTGTGAGGGGAAGTTAAAACACTACCAAAACATTATAACTCTACTATTATGAATCGTTTTTACAAATATATCTTACTCACTCAAAATACTAAATCAATTTTACATTCATTCTATTGACCTATGCATTGTAGATGTTGTAAAACGCATACGAGGTTCCCTCAGAAATCTGGTTTTTTATCTTTTTTTTTTCATCACAGGCGTTTTATCTCTTAAAAATTCACTTTGAAGGGTACCTTTTTCTGTTTCGCTTGAACATGTTTAGATAAAAAACAAAAATGTTTAAATCGCTGTCAAGTATGCTGTGATAGTCTTGAAAAAGAGTCCTAATTACTAAACCAATAATTACACATTACAGTTTAAGATTTTGCAAAATGTTTGCTTATACTTATTACTCTCATCTTGACACTTTGTGACGTCACACATCTAAACAGATCAGTGGTTGGAAACTATGGTCGGACGTCAGTGTTACCAGTATAAGAGAAATATGAAACCACGATATCACTGTTTAGTGATACTGACCAACATTGGCCAGTTAATTAAATATTAATAATATTTGTTTAAACTAATTAATTTAACAACGAAAATAGGCCAACGAGAATATGTACATAATAAAATAAAACCAGATAGACTTTATAATAATCTTAAGTCAGTGTGACCAAAAATTGAAAAAAAAAAATTTCTGTTATACAGTGTGGTCAAAGAAATTTTATCAACCATTGATTAACCTTCTGTTTGAACGTTTTTTTTTAATATTTTTTCCGCAGAGTACTTTGAGAAACATGATCACAACTTGGTGTGCGTGGACTGGTGCAAGATTTCACATGATATAGCTTACGTGGCCGCAAGGATGAGATGCAGAGCAATCGGAAATTATGTGGCGGAACTCGTTACAATGTTCTCTCAAGAATTGGGGCAGGATCTCGACCTGATACACATAATCGGCTTTAGCATGGGTGCACATATAGCCGGATTCGCCGGCAAACAGCTCGACTCTCAAATAGGACGAATCACCGGTAAACCAATCAATCCCGCGCTTGTTATGCTCGGCCAATGCGGTGGCCATAATTATTAATTGTGGAGCTCAGAAGCCAAACTGATTAACTCCAAAAAATGAAAAGTAAAATTGCTTAGCGCACTCTAGTGGTGAAAAATTCAACTATGGAGTTATTTATCTTGGCCACTGAAAATTATACACTTTTGTAATCCAACCGTGCTGTTATTCGCAATTTGAAAAAAAATTGGAGTTAATCGGTTTGGCGTCTGAGTGCCTCAATTATTAGTCAAACGAAGACATTTACCGTTGTGATAAGGCTTGACGATACAACTTTGAGAACGTTATTGTGATTTGTTGTCCGGACTCGTTCCATGACGTCTTTTGTTATGAGAATTGATTACGGTCACGTCTTAACCCCATCCGGAAATGACAGTTTTCCACCAAAAAAAAAAACTACAATTCAAAATTAGTCCACGAATTGCCTGCCTAATCTAAGAAGTTTGCTCAGTATCTGAGAGTTTAACTCATAATAATTACCCAGACAGTACAAAAAATTCAACAACCTTCAATATATTATTAAACTATTTTCAAAAAAAAAATATTCAAACGATATATTTTGTAGGCAAGAACTTTTGGCTAACAAAATAACTATAAAAATTAAAAAAAAGGTTTTAAGACATTTGACTTTGGTACTGAACTTTAAATTTTTAACTGTTTTCAAGAAGTCTTGTGAATTTTTTACTGGATATGGTAATATCCCCATTTTAAATGTCATTCGCCCGCAAGCTGGTGTTCTTGATGTATTGATTAATTATTTGTATAGGCACACTTAGCAGAGCTAAAACTGCTCAGTTCCTAAGTAATAAATACTAATTTCTGACGCAGGTTTGGATCCAGCTATGCCGTTATTTCCCACCCGCTACCCCGAACATAGACTCAGTAAGCATGACGCCAAGATGGTGGACGTGATTCACACTTCAAACTTGTTGTTGGGCCTAATGGAGCCAATAGGAATAGTTGACTTCTATCCCAACGGTGGTCACACAAGGCAACCCGGCTGCTCTTTCTACGATTATTGTAATTATTATCGCACAGACTTATTTTTTTTTCTTAAGGTTGGGTAAGGTTCTGCATGGAACCTGCATCGAATAAGTTGAAAATTGTATTCACATGGACTTAACCCTGATTCGATACATTTTTCAACAGAAAAAAATATGTATCAACTATAATACTGCCATTAGCAACTGCTTAAGTATCTAAATACCGTTTTCTTACATCTGATTTCAATATAGCTAAAACATCTTTTAAAAACATTTTGAGTAAAACAACACTTTAATGCTTATATTGGACACCGTTATACAGGGTGTCTCAAAAATAATGGTAGGGTTAAGAATGGTGGGGTTTCAAACGGCTGTAGGTTGTGAAGTATTGGACCTACAGCGCTCTGGTAGGGCTTGAATGAAAGAGAAAGTTGTCAAGTTCCGAATGACTGCCACTAGACGTTTCACAGTCGTAACGCCTCACTCTTTCATTCAAGCCCTACCAGACCGCTGTAGGTCCAATACTTCATAACCTACAGCCGTTTGAAACCCCACCATTCTTTTTGAGACACCATTTTACATTATGATTAATGGTATATTTCCTGTGTTATGGCAGTTGACGGTGGCGTCTGTAGTCACTTCAAATCCTACGAGTTCTTCGCTCGGTCCATCCAGTCCCAAGACAATTTCAGTGCCAGGAGATGCGACAGCTGGTCTAATTATGTGGTCAACGAGTGTGAAGGGAATGATCTCGCGGTGATGGGAGAGTACACTAATGCCAGGTAAGAGAAATGATCATCGTGAACTTAACACTAAGGAGAGAACATTTTTGTTAATAATACAACATGCGAATATCAAGTTACAAGGAGCACAATAAAACTAATATCCATTGTATTCCTTAAAATGTCTGGGTAAAAAAAACAATACCGTTAGTGTTCAGAATTGCCATCTATCCTTCAACGTCCCCTGAATCTATTTAGTGCGATTTTTCTTAATTTATACATTTTTGGCAAAATTTGGCTAAGCAATGGGAGTTTTTAGTGAAGTGGTGTGATTGAAAAAGATCTATTATTTAATTGAAATTAATTTTTTTGATGTAGTGTTTCAGGTACTTACTTTTTGACCGTCGATGAAGATTTAATGAGTATATTTTAGTAAAATATACTCATAATACTAATAATGCTCTGTATATTTTACAAAGCAATTATTATTATATTTTATATCAAATAATTTTCTTCAAACTATTCACTTCATTACTCAATTTATGTATATTATGTATTATTGATTTGTCTTTTGAGTTTGTAAATCTTAAAAAATATAAACTGGTAAAAGGTTTTTGTGGTGTAACATATTTTTTTGTACTATTACGGTTATACCCTAGTAATATTACATAAGGTTAGTTTTTCCGAAAAAAATTGAATCATGAATATGTTATCTCTTATCACTTATCTCATATCTATTATCTCTTATCACTTCACTCTTATCTCTATCCTCTTGTCTGTTATCTCTAACTGAAAGTGAAACAATGACAATTTTTTCCATTCGATACTATAAGGATACAGTAATAATACTTATATCTCCAATAGAACATTAGTAATAGAGTTGTATACGAATATTCATGGCACAGACTTCATAAATTCTATAGACCGAGATGGTTTGGGCGTGTCACGAGGAAGCGGTAAGAATGGTAATGGAAACAAACACAGGAGGCGTTTATTTGAAAGTGGTTGGATTACAAGAGTGTAAAATGTTCAGTGGCCAAGATAAATAATTCGATATTTGAATTTTTCACCACTAGAGTGCGCTAAGTACATTGGCAATTGTACTTACATACATTGTTTCAAATAACTTTAACTGCCTGTCCTGAAAAATTTAATTTTATGGACTCAATCAGTTTGGCATCTGAGCGCCTCATTTATTGTTTTCCTCAATACTCTACGATTAATTTCATTTATCGTTTTTATTTGCTCTCAAATTAATTGAAAATAATATTTAAATTATTACAATGTTGGCAATTGTGCTGCAATTGAACTTCATATTTATACAATAAAAAAAAATATTAAATGTTCAGTATGCATTTCAGTTTTATGTTCATGGCGTTCGGATAAATGGTGTAGTAATGCATAAAGGACAGGCAAACAGGCAGACAGGCAGCATACTTTCATTTTTATGTATATAGATAACAATAATCAATAATAGAATCAGTGTCCGGCAGTGAGACCGGACCTTTTATTATCAACATACGGTGGTTCTGCGAATATTTCGTTTACCGTTGTTTTATCTTACCTTATAAATTGTTTTGACATTTTTATAATATCATAGAAATTATTGTTATCGTCGATTTTAAAATATCATCAAAAATACCTAGTGAATAAACAATTCTGAATTCAGTCAGTGCGTTCGCGTTGCCGTAAATCGTTGTCGTTTTTTTTTAAATTTAATATCTTATTTATTTTGTGAACCTTTTTTTTTCTTAACTAGATTATTTCAAGTTAGTTCAAATGAAATTAATGAAAGGTCAAATAACCTATGTAAAAAATACCATACAGACATTGATGGAGAAGATTTAAAAGCCGAGTTGATACATTTGAAAGGACATTTATTGATTAAATTTGGCCCAGAAAAGCAGTCTCCTTTAAAACTTATAAAAATTATTTACGACAACGACTTAAAAACTGTGTACCCAAATGTAGAAATTATTCTAAGAATATTTATTTGTACACCAGCTACAAATTGTTCCGCAGAAAGGTCGTTTTCATATTTAAAACAAATAAAAAATTACCAAAGATCGACAATGAACCAACAAAGAGATTGAATGCATTATCAACGTTAAGTATTGAAAACCAATTAACAACAGAAATGGAATTTGAAGACGTCATAAAGACATTCTCTGAAAATAAAGCCAGACGTAAACAAATGTAGTACTGAATTAATTTGTTAATTTTTTTATTTTTCTTTATTATTAATTATTTCATCATAATACATCAATACTATGAGTAATAGTGTATAAAATAAAAGTATAGTAATAAGTGTTTGCAAAAAGCAAGGCGATTAATTATTATTGGTGACCAAAAATAAAAAGGTCAGTAGTTAAACATTTTGGAAAGGGGCGGCCAAAAAAATTGCCTAGGGGCGGCAAAAAGCTAAATACGCCACTGAGCGGCATGATCATTGTTGGAGGAACTACTGGATAACTACTTGAAAATTATTGTTATTATTACAAGAAAAAACGTTAAATAAGATTTATCCTTATCCTTTGAAGTATCATCGCAAGAGTACTTCAAGATGAAAATTAAATTTTATTTGTTGACGATTCGAATAGAGTGTTTAAATTTTGTAAGTTTATTATGCCATTTGTTGATGATCTAAAGTTATTCTCAAGTTGTACTCAAGCACGTGGTTGGTTATAAATCTGAATTGATTATTACACGTGCTGTGTAATACAAATGGATTCTTATGTTTACAAAAGACCCTTCAAAGTAAATTTGTGAATTTCTAGCAATTAAATTCACCTTTCTACACTTTTGAAGTCAAAATTAATATGTGCTATGGTAGTTTAATCTTACCAAACCTAACCAAACCTAACCTAACCAAACCTAACCTAACCTTACCAAATCTAACCTAACCAAATCTAACCTAACCTAACCTAACAAAACCTAACCAAACATTGGTAGATAGATTATACGTAGGTATTATTATAAATACTAAGCTACAAATTTATCAACTTCGCATTTACATTATCTTTGGTTGTTTTTTTTGTTTTGTTTACTTATTATCATCTTTTTGTCTTAAGACGACATTGTTATAGTTTAATTTTTTTTACACGACAAAGTGAAGTGTTTAGTGTGTGTTATCATAGCATGACCTTTAATGTTACTTTAAATCTCGGTAGGCTAGATCCACGTGTGTTAATCTAGCTTTATTGTGACAATAATTCGAGACTGCCAACTAGCGGTGACGGATAACAGTAGCAACGCTTAGTTTAGTTAGGCAGTCAAGAGTGTCGTCAGTCATCCACGTCTCATTGCTCATTCTACAGTAGGTACCTACGCGAATACTGTTTCAAAGTTATTGACTAATTATTAAAAAAAAATAAACCCATTTGTTTAGTATTTTTTTTGTAATAAAAAATATGTCGTTCTATCTGTATTTATTGATTCTGGTTTCAATGAATGCATCGTCGCAGAGCAGTAAGTTGTTTTTTTGTCATTGTCCGTTTATGTGTCTTAACCCTTCACTGCATGAATTTTTTTTATTTTTATGAAAAAATTAGAAATTATTAATATTATAATAAAAATATATATTATGCCATTTTTATGTGTGTTTACTGCACTCTATCTAACTATATGCTAAAACTATGTATACCTGATTAATCATAATTCCTACCTTCAATTTTCAAACTATTAGATGTAATATAAAACAACATTTGAAAACGAAAACATTCAAAAATAACAAATTTCAACAGTGTATGAACATTATTAAAATGTTATGCGTACAAATCAAATATTGGGGCTTGAACTTTTGGGAGTGCTAATTTTGAGTCTGGGGGTGTTAAAGTCCCCTTAGCACCCTCCTAATTGCGCATATTGTGTAAAGAAGTTTAAATTATAGGTATTAAGTATTTATTTTTATTCTAGTTAATTAATAATTGTTTTACAATTTTGTTCTTTGATTTTTATATTATTGAATGATTTAAATACAAATAATCGAATGGTTTGTATAATTCTCTGTCACTGTATTTTAATATTACCAATACACTCAAAAGATATTATGTTGTTTTATTATAACCTAACCTAACAAATGGAAAACCTATAAACTAAGCTAACCTATTCTGTGATTTTAATAATAATATACTCAATGAAAAACCTAAAACCTATTCTAACCTAACCTAACCTAACCTAAAACCTATTCTGACCTAACCTAACCAAACCTAACCTATTCTGTGATTTTAGTAATAAAAAAAAGTTAAGAGTAATCACACTTCGTTTCATGGATATTTCCTGTGATGGTGTAAAGATAAAAAAATAATGAATTTAACAACAAAAACACTCGTCGCTATAAAAATAAATATTCACTTCAGTTTTATCTGTAAAAAAATTGCGCCAACTAAATCATCATTGTGCAAACAAATGTATTAAACTAAACAAAAAACAACAAGACGTTTAACGATAATTTCTCCTTTAAACCGACAATAGGTCTAAACATAACCATATTATGTTTTGATTTTAGCTGACACTATTGTCCAGAGCGACGGACCACATTATCAGCACAGCGATTTTGTTTTTGAAAACCAACAATGGAGTCGGTATAATGTATCGAAGCATGTATTTTACTGGCTGTACACAAGGTTTTTGGAATTGAAGTTCTACTCCACTATGAAATAACTCAATAATTTTGGCGATAATTTCAGGGAGCAAAGTGGGGGTGTGCTTTTGGATAAAAACGATCCGAATGCAATTGAAAAATCTTCTTTCGACGTGAAAAACCCAATAAAAATACCTGTTCACGGTTGGCATGGAACTACTCACGAAAAGGAAGGCCTCTGTTCTTCGTTGGTCAGATGTAAGTCAAAGAAACGTTACTTAGTGCTAATTACCGTGTGACGAATCAAAGGTCTATCTAGACATATGACTACACCGTCTTTGGGTAGCTAGATATCCGGGATCAAAACTCAAGGAAACGTTTTATCCTATATTTGATTATTAATTAAGTGATGATGAACTCTTAAAAAAATAATGTTATTTTTTAACAAAGAAAAACAATATTTATGTTGTTGTGTAAAAAAAAAGACACGCGGCACGAAAATTGAAAGACTAATGAAGAATTTTTCAACAAATTTTATACAACGTCTTGTGAAAAAATTAAACTTTAAAGTTAATTTTCTAATGGTTACAAAATGTGATCGTGGCCTTTTTTTAAACACAAACATCAGATTCGTTTTAATCATCTGACCTGTTAGGTAATATAGTTTGAACAAAATCTATTTTTTTTCCAACCATTTATTATTATAAAGTGTTAAAATTATAACTATAGGTATTAAGTATTTTATTTTTTATTTCAGTTAGTTTAGGTTAGGTTTTAATAATTTTTTTATAATTTTACTAAGTGATTTTTATATAAGACATGATTTAAATACAAATAATCGAATGGTTCGAATAATTCCCTGTCACTATATTTTAATATTACCAATACACTCAAATGATATCATGTTGTTTTATTTTAACCTTACCTAACAAATGGAAAACCTAAAACCTAACCTAACCTATTCTGTGATTTTAATATTAATATATTCAATGATATACCTAAAACCTATTCTAACCTAACCTAACCTATTCTGTGATATTAATGATAATGTACTTAATGAAAACCCTAAAACCTATTCTAACCTAACCTAACCTATTCTGTAATATTAATAATAATGTACTTAATGAATAACCTAAAACCTATTCTTACCTAACCTAACCTATTCTTTGATTTTAGTAATAAAAAAAAGTTAAGAGTATCCACACTTCATGCAGATACATCAACACATGGATATGTTCTGCAATCTAGTATCTCTAATATCTTATCTCTAATCCACTATCTCTATTAGTTCACCTCCATAATTCCTTAATTATTTTATGATTTTAATAATACAGACTTATGATTTAAATACAAAATAATCGAATGGTTTGAATAATCCTTATCACTATATTTGAATATTACCAATACACTCAAATGGTACCTTATCTTGTGGTTTTATTGTAGCATATTTGGACATAGGACGTTTCAACGTGGTGTGCGTGGACTGGAAACAATACTCGACGGATGTAACTTACGCCACGGCTAAGTTGAAAGCAAAATACATTGGGTACGACATAGCTAAAATGGTATTACGGTTGACGAAAAATTTCAGCGAAGGAGTCGAAGGCGTTCATTTAATAGGACACAGTTTGGGTGCACATATTTGCGGATTTGCTGGCAAAAAGCTAAACAACGGCCTACCGAGGATCACCGGTTGTTAAATAATAATAATAACAGCTGTTGTCTTAATCAAAAGATAGTATAATATTATTATTATGTTCAATTACTTTGCACTTGCTGTAGGTTTGGATCCTGCGAAACCGTTGTACGCCAAAAGTGGTCCCGATGATAGGATATCCGACACTGATGCGGTTCTCGTAGACATTATTCATACGGGCACCAAACGCCTTGGATTATGTCAACCCTTAGGGCAAATTGACTTTTACCCAAACGGCGGTGAAGCACAACCTAATTGCGGCAAGAGTGATAAAAGTATGTTATATTATTTTTGTCATACACGGTGTCTCCAAAAGAATGGTGGGGTTTCAAACGGCTGTGGGTTGTGAATTATTGGACGACTGTGAAACATCTAGTGGCAGTCATTCGAAACTTGACAACCCTCTTATTCATTCAAACCCTACCAGAGCGTCGTAGGTCCAATACTTCACAAACTACAGCCGTCTGAAACCCCACCATTTGTTTTGGGATACCCTGTACTTATCGACAAAGATTTAGTCACTCGATGCTCGAATCTGCACCAGAGGCAATTTAATTACTTTTAAACTGATTGTACAATCCAGCGAGATGGCGATTGAAACATAAGTGCAACTAAACATCAAGAATCTAGAAGATTTATGAGATTTTTGGGTTTAGCGGATTCGTATTAAACGTTTGGTTATTATGTTTTGTCTATAATGTTTTTTTTATTTAATTGCAGAATCTGGATCGTGCAGTCATTGTAAGTCCTATCATTTTTATGCGCATTCCATATGGGCCAAAGAAGATTATCCGTCTCTTGAATGCCCTTCGTGGGAAGACTATAAAAAAGGAAATTGTGAAGGGATGCCCGAAACCTACATGGGCGAATTCGTAAATTCAAAGTAAGCCATTTCAGCGAACGCTATCTAATCCGGTTTATTATAATAATTGATTTGCATGCATTTACTCTGTTTACAGACTCAATGGAACATTTTTCTTGTATGCCTACAAAGAAGACATACCGTGAATGTCATTGTAAAGTTATTTTCTAAACGGAAACGTTCCAACACTTTCGTCGATAAATGTATATACATATATTACTTTAAATACTAAAAAGATTTTACAAACAACTATAGTCCACTATTTTTTTTTTCTTAAATAAAATGTATAAAATATTGAAAAGGTCGTTCATCGTTTTATAATTTTATGTGTACTCTGAGAGAAACCGACGTCCGGATATTATACAACAACTTGAAATTCAGAATTGCAAAAATAGTCTTCTAAATTTTCGCGCCATGCTAAGATATTGTTGATAACAGACAAGTGATAAGAGATTAGAGATAAGTGATAAGATATAGGTGGTAACTGATAATAGATAAGAGAATGAACACAATAAACCGCAAAAACATATCCACGATTAAATGTTATTTTTTTTATTATAAATAATACTTAATTATTCATTATTATCGACATTAACGCGTAGAATAACACTATAAACGACGCTTGTTTTTTACATAATTGGAAGCGATTTAAAAACTAACTAGACGCCCTAAGACACTTGTTTCAAAACAAAGTCTGAATTCGTTGTACAGTGTCATTATTTATAGACATCATAAATTATTATTATAGTGCATTATTTATACGGTAGAAAAAATAAATTGTTAAAAACATTGTACTTAACGACAATAATGTGGTTAAAAATCAATTTTTAGTACATTAGGGTTAATCGTCCGTGTACATGAAAATGTATTGCCATGGTTACCAAATTAACACTGTAATGAAAATATTTTCAAATACCTGTTAACCATTGTTTCACGCACACATAGCAACCTAAAAATTTACCACAGTCAAAGTGTAATAATTTCCCCCTTTTTGTTTGGTTTTTTCCTTAATAAAAAAAAAAAAATTGACCGAGGAAATTTTCAATGTAATATAAATAAATTTAATAATATAAAATGAGTACTTTTCAAATTTTAGACCTAATGAAGTACCTTGCAGGTAGGATTTATGATCAATAGAGTTGCTACACGAATAAATGGGTTTGTAGAAGACATCTTGGGTGGAAAACATAAATAAAAAATTGATAACACATAATTATTGTAAATCATTCCCAAACAATATGCATTAAATCTAAAACTGTACATTTTCAAAACGGTTTCAATTATTCTTTAAACGTTTTAAAGCGTTTTTTAGCTAACATTTAAACATGCTTTTCTTGGATAAAAAAAAAAGTGAATATTTTACTTTATTAATACTAATACCATTACCTACTCGCGAATAGTGACTTTCATATTATGTTTGATAGGTAATGGAAATATTTTACAACCATACTTTGGCACTGGAAAATAACAAACAGATTATTTATTAATTATTAATAAATAAACACTATTATTGCATTGTCGCTGTGTAATTTGTACCTGTTTTTTTTTAAGACTATTTTTTTCAAAATTGTCGACAATGCAAGTGTTGTTATCTATTCAAGGCTAACATTTTCGAATTTTACAAGTAACCTCGACTCCTGCACCCGATGAATTATAATGAAAATGATTATCATTATTTTTAATAAGAAAAAAACACTATTAACATTGCTGTCGGCTAATTATCAGTGACGATTTTTGTGATAACTGATAACTGATAACAGAAATATGATAACTCAGCCTTTTTAGTTTTTTCTTTCCTATGTCTTACATTAACTGCACGGCTATTGAGCACTGTTTTTGACTTGACACCTAATCGGCGTTGGAAATAATTTTAAATATCTAATTCTCATTCGAATCTAACAGTGTAATCGCTGTCGACATTAACTCAATATTATAAAACATTCTCTCTACTCGCGTATTATGTGAATAATAATTAGTCGAGTGTGGCTTGCAGTAATAAAATGACTTATCCAAATAGTTTCAAAACACTTGCTCCGTTTAAGTTTAGTCCCAAAGACGAATTGCGTTTTTCCGTCAGAAAAGGATATGAAGTACATTTTTTCAAAGCTTTGAGCAAACTCGACAGTGACACAATCGACGATGTAATCAACGAGGTACGTTCTTCTTGGATGGTAAAATGATTTTTCAAGTAGTTTTTTTACGAACAAAACACAAATTGTTTACGTTGCAGACGTACACGGACGATAAACAAGTCGTGACCATTTTAATAGAAGCCGCTCTTTACGGACAAATAAAAATCATAAACTATATTTTGTCAAAGTTCAAAGTGAATTTGGACGCCGAAGGTAAAGTAAATCATTTTGGTTCCATGGTCGAAGGAGCGACGGCGCTCTGGTGCGCAGCCGGTTAGTATAGAATATTAAACGAAGAATATAATATGCTCGTTTTTGTCGTTTGCGTATCAGTCGTGTTAAGACAGAGTGTAAATTGTCTGTAGGTTACGGACACATGGAGGTAGTCAAGACTCTTCTCGCCAACGGCGCAAACGTAGATTATTGTACAAAGTCAAAATCCACTCCGTTAAGAGCCGCTTGCTATTTAGGCAGAATAGACATTGTCAGCTACTTGGTTCAAAACGGAGCAAACGTCAACACTACGAATATTTTCAACAGCACCTGTCTAATGATTGCATCATACCGAGGCGAGTAAACAATCTATTATCATCTCTTAACAAGATAAGGAATACAATTAATTAATCATTTTCTTATACAAGACATCGTTATATTTTCATGGCTGAGGCGGTCTAGCGTGTGTACTAATTAATTATTCCGATAAACGGTCGTGTGTGTGTGTTTTTTTTTTAGGACACAAAGATGTGGTAAAATATTTGTTAGAAAATGAAGCCGACGTTAATAAACAAACCAATTGCGGCGCCACGGCTATGCATTTCGCTGCCCAAGCGGATCATGTGAAAATTGTCGAATTACTTTTGGCGCACAACGCTAAACATTTAAAAAACGAACACTGTAAGTACGAAAAATTCTGAAAAATAGTCGTAAAAAACGATTACGTTATAATTTTATGAATCTAATAAGTTTACATGTGTATATGTTGAAGCTCTCACTCCGATTTTGGTGGCGGCCGAACGGACTCATATTGTTCTCGTGTACTATCTTCTGGACGCGTTGAGCTTGAGCCGGGAAGAGAAAATCGAAGCCGAAGAACTACTGGGCGCTTCGTTCTTGAACGACAAAGACAATTACGACAACCATTTGGGATACACCATTCTGTTACACTCGATGGAAATGAGGTAATCAATTTGCAAAAAAAAAAAAATACTACTTATAATAATAATAACAATAATAATATTCAACCAATTAAGGTATAACGCCGAGCCGATTGTTCCCAAACGAGTTTACAAATGCGTCGAAGCTTACGGCAATCGTATCGAATGTCAAACCGTTGAAGACTTGATGAGTATAAAAGAAGATTCAGAACCTTTACATTACGAATCGTTAATTATAAGGTAACACATTCGAACGACTCGGCCGAACCAGAAATACATTTACCGGTTTTTAATGTCAATTTAATATAATATTTTTTTTCACTTTTTACTTTTAAGAGAGCGAATATTAGGGGAAAAAAATCCAGACTTACTGCAGTCGATCATATACCGCGGTGCTGTTTATGCCGACGCGTTTAACTTCACGCCTTGTATTAGACTATGGTTACACGCCATGAGAATAGCTCAAGACAATCAAACTAGCACTCATAAAGACTTACTTCGTTTTGCACAGGTACGCCGTAACAATAAAATATATATATATATATATATGTATATAAATAACGCGTGTTGGCCATCGACGACTTCGGTATCAGAAAATATGACATAATCGTACAACGGCTATTATTGTCTTAGGTATTCTGTCAAATGATCAAAGCCAAGTCTCCCATAGAAATGTCGGATCTCAAAAAAGTATTAGGGGCTACTACCGAAGAACTGAAACGCAATCAGAAAAAATTGTCCAGCAAGTCGCCCGAAGAAGACAACGGAACCGCGACCGAGGTACTGCTTACTTACAAAATATCGAGCAAAGTCAAATTTGTTTTAATTTAAATACAATTGTCTTTATCTCGGCGGTTATAGACGGAGTACTACGCCAATATACTGTCGACGCTCGGACTGATAAACGTCACCAGCTTTGTGTTGGCGCAAAACGTCGGCGTGGAAGATCCGCTAAAAGGAGAAGTGCTGAAAATCATCGTGGAAATAAACAAATTAAAAGTGAAAACCACCAAAGGCGAGACGCTGCTTCATTTGTGTCTCAATTACGATACGAACGTGGACAATTTATTTACAAACGGAATCTGTTGGTAATAAAATAGGGCGGTCGACATTATCGTCGTCGTTGACGAAACGTATTATGCAAAACCAACCCAAAGCCTTTGCACTAAACACCTGATTTTTGGTTACAGTTTTCCCAATTATCCCACAATGAAGTTGTTGATTTATTGTGGCGCCGACGTCAACGCGATCGATAACAACCGAAACACGCCGCTTCATTATATCGACAAATTCATATCGGATTTGTACGATCATTTATCAAAATTAATCATAATTATTATATTTTCTAATCCGATCGATAATGTGTATTTAATTATTGTTGTAATTGGCGTTCCATTTCAGCCCTCATATACCGCACACCAACAATTGTTTGGACACCAAGAGAATGGTGATGGAATTGCTCGATTCGGATGCGCACACGGACTTTGTCAACAACAGAGGAGTGTGTCCACATACGGGATTTCTCAGCAGTAAGATAATATTCTCGGTTGATGGACTTACATAAAAATAGCGTGTACGTACATCGCATTGACGATGTTGCCCGTTGTTGTTTCAGCCGTGTTCAATTTGACCAACAATAATCCGATGAGTTTGAAATGTCTGGCGGCCAGATGCGTTCGACGGAATATCGCCAAAGTAAATTATCACAATCAGTTGCCGTCCGAATTGGAAGAATTCACCAATTTACACGGAGTGGACGATCAAGAAGTCTAATGACGGCTATTCTTGTTTATTATTATTAGTTTTTTTTTTTCGAAAACCCGTACTTTGGTTTTTTCTTCTAAATTTGAGTTATGCGTTTTTGTGTTAGTGACAGACTTGAAAACAAAGTAGAAAAGCGTTATTTATTTGTTTGTACAAATCTCCAGGTTTGTAATGTATATACTATATAATATGTAATCGTGTGAATTTAATATTATAGCGAATAATATTATTTCACAATACAATATTTATAATTATTTCAATTTCTTTTGCCGACTGTAAACGTATTCGACTCACATCTATCTAATAGTGTTATACTCTAGTCAAAATTGGGTTCTATTTGTGTGTGGGGTTATTGTGAGATTTGCAACACGGTTCACAATTCAATACTGGACATATGATATTTTAGGTTATTATGATTAGAAATATAGTTTAATTAAATGAATAGAATTTATTTCAAACTTGCGTTGTCTTTTCGTAAATATCGATATACACCAGTAACGAGTTGATACGATAGCAACGATGCAATTGGTTTTTTAGAATGTTCAAAACTTCAGTGTAAGCACTGGTGGTGTGTGTCTAAATTGTATCGTTTGAATTTCATATTTTACTTATAAAAAATATAGTTAAAGTTGTAATATTTAAATACAATAACGATAATTGATTTGTAAAATAAAACTATATTATTATAATTTAACGGTTATGTGTATAAAAAAAAAAAAATACAATAAAATTCGAGCAAGCTTGTTTTATTCGGCGTTATAGTACAATAATAATATTATAATAATATAAAATATATAAAAAAATAAAATTGTATTTATTATAAAAATAATATATATATATAAAAATATAAATAAATTTAATGTACCCGTTATTTAATTTAAAAAAATACATACAACTAACATTATGTATATCAAATACATAGGAGAATATCTAAATAAATTTAAGGACGTTATCGTTTTCACAGCAAGGGCGCTGCTTTAACACTAAAAATATTTAGAAATTCCCTCAGCCGTGCAACTTAAACAATTACGGGGGTGCTGAGTACACCAAAGCCCCCCCCCCCAAAATGGCTTCTATTTTTCTATGCTACCGTTTTTTGTTATTTTAAAACAAAAACATATTTATTGCAGGAAAATTATCGTTGATTGAAAAATAAAAAAATTTGAACATGGTAAAACTACTACCACTGGCCTTCAACGATCGTATGTACGTTCAATATATTATGTTTAGTCGGTATAGCCGTCGCGGAAAGCGATTAACAGTTTCCAATCGGCCAAGAGAGTTCGGATGCGCTCGTCAACAGCTTATGTCGTGCACGTTTCGTTTGTGCGTCCTCAACGTGGATTTGTGAGAAAATCGGACGTCGCACGCGTTACACGGGAACGGCTTGATCGCCGCGTGAACGGTCAGGTGAGCCGTCAACGCCGGCTTGGTGCAATAGGCTTTCGAACACACGGTGCATTTGTACGGTCTCACGCCCGTGTGGGTTCTGGTGTGCGACACGAGCGGACTGGGCTGATGAAATGATTTATTACAATATTTACACTGGTACGGTCTGATGTTGCAGTGGATTCTCGAATGGGTCACCATTGTCTCTTTCGTGACAAACGTTTTCTGACAGACGTCGCATTCGTAGCGCCTCTCGTTGGTGTGCCTGCGCTTGTGCGTGGCCATGTGATTTTTTTGCGTAAAACGCTTCGGGCACAGCGGACACTTGAACGGCCGCTCGTTGGTGTGCGTTCTCCTGTGAGTGATCAGATACTGTTTCACGGCAAACGCCTTGTCGCACAGGTCGCACTTGAACGGCCGTATATTGGTGTGCGATATCCGTTTGTGTATGGTCAGATGACCGGACTGAGCGAACTTCCTGTCGCACTGGTCGCACTGGTGCGATCTTATTCCGTAGTGCATTTTCATGTGCACTCGGTAATTGTGTCCGTGATAGAATATCTTGCCGCACACGGAGCAAACAAACGATTTCCTCAGGTCTTGTTTGTCGACCTGTATTTGACTTTCGAAAATGCAGCCGTTCAAAACGTCTTTTTCGATCTTTATCTCGATAGTCGTCATTTCTTTTGGCAACATTACACTGTGTAAAAAAAACACAATACAATTTTAATTAGATAATATTTCAGTTCAGAAACGCATTCTTATTTTCTGGTTTTTTAATGCGTTCAATAATAAATAAATACCTCGCGGATGTGTATCTTGTGATGTTGTATTCTTCATCGACGTGTTCTTGTTTTATACGTATATTTAACGAACCGTCAATCAGTTTTGATAGTTTGTTTGATTCGCCAGACAAACTACGAGTCCTATAAAAAATCGACAAAATCTAATGTATTCCAATTATTTAAAACAATAGCTAAAATATAACGTTTATCGGTTAAACATACCGTATTGCAAAATTTATAATTGTCACTATTACTCTCTTTGTGTTTTATTTACTAAAAAAAAACGCTCTTTTTAGCGAGTCCCTCAGAGAAGACAGTTAATACGTTTTACTAGCTCTACTTTGGAGCAAAAGGCAAATGAAAAAAATTATTTGGAAAACTATTTGGGGTTCGAGACAACGTCTTAATGGAGAGAACGTTCAAACTGTTTTACGTTCAATGTATGTTTTCATTTATTTATCTCCTAACCTGACCGATCAAAGGGTAACAAGTATTAACTATAGTCATAAGTGGTATAACTAATATATTTTAAGTACCCGGGTGTATAACGCTAGGAGTATTACCTGTTAAAATAGTTTCACTCCAAACCCCGTTAATTAATATAGTATAAAGGCTATGGAAATAATTTTAAGCTGTACGATAAGAATATAACACAATATTATATTAAATTTGATTTTTTGACGATAAAAAGTTAAAATTATTAATTAGTCTCGACTAAACGTTTGATATAAAAATTACATAAATACATACTTTGATTTGACAGTTGACCAAAATTGATCGAATTTGGAACTTTTCGGAATGAGTGCATCACATTTGACCAGCAATAATCTCAACTCTCGGCGAGCCATCTTTGAGGGGAAAAAAAGGGTAACTGAAATGATAAAATTAATCAAAATAAATAAACCGTAGTCTGTAAAATAAATAACGATTAACGGTAAAAGTAAATAAGTGTAAATAAATTCAACGAGTTACTGTTAAAACTATACTTACTATGTACTCGGGTGTAAAGTAAGTATTAACAAAACTACTTACTTTTTTTTTACTGCAACAGGTGTCTTGAAAGATAAATGAATGGAAACAAAAGGGCACTACAGCACCTGCCACAGAATATTCACAGATGCTCTTTTGCACTGTGTTCGATTGGATAAGAGAATAACAGAAAAACAAATTGTACAGTAAAAATAAAAAAAAAACTATGATTAAAATGTTAAAATTGTTTTTATTTTTTTCCAAAACATTTTGTAGTTTGTACCTACACCTACTGACTGACAATTATTATTATTGTGTATTTTCCTACGGTTTTGGTCTTTGAACTCACACTCACGTTTTGATGAAATCCTTACAAGATAACAGCTCACATTACACAACAATGTAAATAACGCATTGAAAACCGGTGATTAAGTATTAGTGTTCTAAACCGTTCATAGATGTCGCGCAACGTTAACACTGTGTTTAGGGTATACCTGCCTTTATTTTATACATTATCCACCTTTGGATAAGTGTAACTTTTGGGAAAATCTATTTTTTCAAATACATTTAGCATCATTTAATCCTTGTAAGTTTTTGATAATTCGCGGGTGCGCGTGAAAAAGGGGTTAAGTCAACCGCTATGAACTTTTCAGGAAAATTGAAAATAATTAGGTTTAGAAGCATATTATGTGAGATCGGGTATTAGAATAAAATAAATATTTTTTAAACGGGACAATAAAACAACTTGTTACGCACTTTCCAGTATAAATAATTAGAATTTATAAAAACGTATGACAAAAAAGCTGTTATAAGTTTGAAAAAAAAAATCGACTTAAATCTTATCGAGTTGAATTCACTCATTTTTAAAATTTTTTTTTTTAAAGGGTTAAGTCATTTTAATAATAATAATATTATTTTATTTTTTTAATATTATGACATCCTAATACGTTAGTTTAACACTAACAATTATTGTAACAAAATAAAAAAACTTAACAAGCAAAATAAGAACTTTTTATTTTAGGCGAGTTTTATTTGTTTATTTTTGTCATTTTTAGCTTTCCTAGATATTTTACTATAGAGACTGTAGCTTTTGTGACACTACACATGTGATAAATTAAAAAAAAAAAAAAAAATACAAGACCCAATTTTCATGGTTTTCAAACTGAAATATCTATTAAATGTATGTCTTACGTTATAACTGTTATCTTAAACAGTATAATAGTATTAACAATAATAATATTATGTTAAATATCTTAAAACTATTTTTTTTTTTTTTTGATACATTATTTGCTTTAGGATTTTCTCTAATTGGCATATTTCTACAAAGTACTTGGGTCGACGATTTCGGGAAGAAGAGCATCATGGTAAAATAAAAATAAATTGTGTCGCCATTTTATTTTTCCAAAACAAATCGTCTCGCTCAATACGTTCAATATGCATGTCTTTTGGCGTCCATACTACAAAATCACAAAAATCCTTTTTCGAAATATGAAGCTGTCCTCCTTGTATCTGGTAATAATAACCGTGTGTTTTGTTGTGATAAGGATTATGAGAAATTTCGCAATATTTAAGGTAAAACGATTTTTTATTTTTTACCGCAAATTCAATTCCAAGAGTTCGGATAGACATAGGACGTTTGACTTCAACTATGCCATTTGGATCTATTAAGCCATCAGGGGGTTGCAGCTAAAAATCCTATATCGGAATCAACAAATAGACCACAACATGGTGAAACTTTCAAACGGTTTTTACGAGCTTCGAACCAATTACTGTTTTCAGCCTGGCCAACAGTCGTAATGCTCTAAGACTTTTATTTCTTCTTCTGTGATTTGTATAGATTACAAAATAAAACTAAAATCATTGTAATAGATGCCCACAAAAAGATTTTAGTTTAACAATTACGATTACTTATTTTAGCTTCGATGCAAAGCGAGAAGGTATTGGTTTTACTCTGATGTGGGCTTTTTTTTTCGCTGTATACACTGTAACTTTTTTAATACTAGACCAATTCCTTCGAACAGCAACTCTATAAATCACAAATTTTGTCTAGTTTGTACTTTGGGGGGGTAAAAGTTGAAAAAATTTAAGTCTTCACAGACGAAAGTTGAAAAAACAAAAAAAAAACCGTACGAGTTTTTAAGTTAGAACTTTTACTGGCTATAGTATCAAGAAAAAGAGTCGGATCGAGTTGAAATGTTTAAAAAATATTTATTTGGTAAGCCCGCGCACGTCAGTTTTGTCAAATTCAAAATATACCCATTTCCCGCCCCCCTAGGGGGGGTACAAGTTTTTTTGTTTTTCGGGGTTTTTAGCCGTAATTTTAAAACTTTTGGGTTGAAAATTTGCCAGTAGTTGGAACTCATATGTACCCATAACATATTAAACGGGAAAAAAATTCGGCACTACAGTTTTTTTTTAATTGCCGGGAAACTGTGTTTTCGCAGATTATGTATATTTCAACAAAAACACCTAAAATCTTTAAAAAAAATTGATCAAATCATTAAAACAATTTTATTTATATCTATGCAGAATGATACTATTAGGTTTTGTGCTCAAGTACCACTCTTGACTTAAAGTTTACACAAAGTTCTTTTTTTTTTTTTTTTTTTTTAACTAAAAACCCAGTGTACCAGATGTGAGAAACGAACAGACACTAAAAACTATCAGTTGGTAACGTCTATCCGTGTTAGATTAGGTTAGGGTCCAATGATCGGTATCATAATATTGTGTTTATTACATGATATCATAGGCGACTAAATCGTGTAACTGATTATAGTAGACACTCGATTTATTGGGAAAAAAACCTATCCGTGTACTTATTAAGACATTTAATGATTCTGATACGACAAAACCACTGTCGTTATCTCGTTATTTTATAGCCTGCGTTATATAACCTTACCGAAGGTTAACTATGAGTATTTAATGTCCAACTACCTGCAAATAATGAAGAGGACTGTTGTTTTTTGGATTCAGATTAAGTGTTGGTTTTTATGCAGTATACCGCCTCAAAATGTTTTTTTTATTACACAATTTTTTTAAAGGAAAACTTATGTTTTGTATATTGTTATACTGTTATTCATTTAAAGAGATTCACGCTTGATTGTTTAAATTGTCTAATATTAGATAATCTGCTTCGTGCTAATTTTATTTTTTTAGTTTATCAACTTGTAGCTCTAATTTTGTAAAAAATATTTCATTATTTTATTACTATGTACCATTACTATTAAGATAAATTTTAATAATAATTAAGTCATAAATGATAATACTTTATTTTGTGACTAGATCAGATCTCGTGAACATTTAATATCATGATACTGCTCCTATGCTATTATTAAAAAAACACAATTTTTAAAATCTCCATAATAGGTTATTGTTAAATAACAGGCAACAGCCGACCGCTAGTGGCTATACATGTTAGTAATATTTAACTAATAAGTAATAAATGTAGGTAAAATTTATTGTTTTCTCCATCACAGTACCAGTATACGATTTATTTTAATTTAAATGTAAGAAAATCGATTTTTCTTTAGAAAATAACAAGAAATTAATATACAGGATGAGGCAGTAAAACGGCGATTTTCTAATGTATTTAAATGGTAAAAACCCGTTTCACTATCCCACCCTTTACATTTTAAGGATCTATGAAAAGGTTTTTTTAGTTGCATTTTATTTTGTACATTGTCAATCTAGTAAAATAGAAGTATAATATAGCTTTGAAATAATATAATCTGTGAAGTATAAATAGTTTGTTTGAGATTGCTTTAATGGAAGTATATAATACATAAATATTAATTTTATTGAGAATAAGCGATTATAATTTAAACTATGGAGTACAAACGATTGAAACATGAATCGTCGACCATTCCAACAAAATATAACAAGACATTGTATATGTGTTATTTGGTCCACTAAGTTTTTGCAAAAAAAAAAAAAAACCAGTACAGTGGGGTCGGGGCATAGTGGGGACGGAGCATAGTTGGGTCGGGGCATATTGGGAACGGGGAGGTCACAGGTTTACAGGAATTTTTAAATCTGAAAGTGATAAAATCACTTTCGAAAAAACGCTTCGATGCAAATCGGTAGTTAGTATTTTCAAGCCAGTACAGTCCAAACCAAGCACAGTATAAACCAGCAAAGTTAGAAAGTTTTAAATGAAGATTCTGTATTTACAAATGAGCATCAAAGCGTTTATTTGAAAGCGATTTTATTCAATTTTATCACTTTTATTTATAATAATTCTTGTAGACCTGTGACCACTCCGTTTCCTCATTGCTTTGATTACATTATGCCAATACTCTACTGTACTAGTCCTCTCGGATAAAATCGCTTTTAAATAAACGCTTTGATGCTCATTTGTAAATACAGAATCTTCATTTAAAACTTTCTAACTTTGCTGGTTTATACTGTGCTTGGTTTGGACTGTACTGGCTTGAAAATACTAACTACCGATTTGCATCGAAGCGTTTTTTCGAAAGTGATTTTATCACTTTCAGATTTAAAAATTCCTGTAAACCTGTGACCTCCCCGTTCCCAATATGCCCCGACCCAACTATGCTCCGTCCCCACTATGCCCCGACCCCACTGTACTGGTTTTTTTTTTTGTGGGCAAATTGTGTAGGTAATGAAAAAGTGCTTTTTTTTACATGCATAGTCTTTTTTCCAGTATCAAATTTTACACAGATGGCACTGTAAAAGATAAAAATAAAAGTTTTTCAAAATGCCAAAAATAAATTAACAGCGATGCGAATAAACTCACAAAGTTTTCGACTGTCGCAAAATGAAAAAAATTTAACTGCCTATAAAATCGAATTTTTTAAACTAAAATCTTGAATTTTTCACCAACTACAGAAAAAATGTGGACTATTTCGGATATTTATAGATGTTTGATTTAAAATACCAGTGGTTTTTTATTTTAAAGTTTGATTATAGTGTCTAAAATTTAACTAGGTTTTTAGAGACTTACGATAAAATTTCGACCGAGTTCGGACTGAACAATAACGAAGGAGTGTCTATGTTCCGTGTAAAATCTTCATCTAATGCATTTTCATTTTTAGCCCTAATGAGTGATTAAAAACTACAATAATGTTTTTTACACATTTAGATTTTGTTATATACTATAATCTATGTATATATATCCACTTACTTCTTATTAGTAAACCATTTAATCAAGCCTTCGTTTAACCTAGCCTTTTTTCGTTTTACATTAACGCGCAGACGACTTTTATTTCCCGTTCTGTAATTTTTTAATTTTTCCGACATTATTGAAATAAATTACAATTACTTATTACCTACACTGAGAGTCGAGAGAGAACAACCACGAATGGGAACTGGGACTGAAATTATAATAGTATTTTATCATACAAAATATTCAACTTCTCAGGATAGTGAATAAACACTAGATTATTACCTATACTGATAGTGTGACCAGACGTCCCGATTTTGGCGGGACAGTAGCGATATTCAAGCAGGTGTCCCGCTAAATATGGTGATCAACTATTCAAACAATAGTTATTTTTTTCTTATTTTCACTTATGGTGTGTATATTTTGTGTTCCATCAGATCACATCAGTTCATTTTGTACAGTTTCTATAATCTATACTGTGATATCACTTATTATCATAGAGACCTAGACATTGGTTTTTATCACGTTATGATCTGGACTCTCAATCGGCTATAGGTAACCACGGTTTTAGAAATGAAACCCAAGTGGTTACAACCATAGACCTATAAAAATTTCTTTATACATCTATGGTTACAACTGATAAAAAATCTCCTTTATTGCTCAAATCTATTGCATCAAACGATAAATACTAAGTGTTAGTAATTTTTTTATCTGTATTAAATATTTTATAAATTTGTATTAAGTATATTTAAATTTGGTTTTTATCCTACTTTGATTATAATTATAAGTTTACTTGTTATAATATTTAATACTTGTTTTTTAAAGTTACATTTTGTTTTTATCATTTTTTTGTTAAGTATTTAATATACTTAATTTTATTAAGGTATTAATAAAATAAATATTTTATGTTCAACGAAAAATTGATTTAAATTTTGATTTTTATCCTATTTTGATTATGATTTTTTTTTTGCACTGTCTAATTTTAGCATGAAGAAATAAAGGTGTACCCAAAACCAATTATTAAGGGAGATTAAATCCTACGAGTACTATTTTATGAGGAGGGATACCCCACTTCCTCTAGTTCCTTTTGAATACTTGTCCCGCTTTTATAGAATTTTGATCTGGTCACTTTACCTATACATTGTAACCGATTACCGATAACAAAATTTAAGTGTTTTTTCTAAAAATACGTTTTCATAATGTCAACAATCAATTTTTTGTCATGCTAGTTTGGCACCCCGCCGCGTCGTCCGGAGTACGTATAACAATTTTTGCCGCCAGGATCGCTACCTGACGGCCAAACTTTTACAAAAAGAAAAATCTGTTTTCGAGTACTTAACTTTGTCCGATATTTTTAAACTATGTACCATTTTAATCAGGACATTATCTACTATGTTTCTGGTTTATCAGATTTCAAACAAATATTTTAGAAAACAAACAAAACGTTTTTCTTTGTACATATTTTAAACACGATATTACATACTTTTAATATATTATAAATTAATATACAGAAAACGGCAAACACAGAAGAGAAAATAATTTAAATTTTGGTATAATTTTGAAAAAAATCTGTTAATTATTTTATTCGTAAACAGACTGCTGCTCAGAGCAATTTTGATAAAAAAAATTTCGGCGCAACCTTCCCCCTTAACTCAACAAACACTTCTTTATTATTCATTGAATATTACACTTAGACCTTAAACTATAAAGCACAAATCATAGAGTTTTTTTTTCTGAACTTTTCGGTGTATATAAATTCATTTTGCAATTTTTTTAATTCTTACCTCGAGATGATATTTTTTTATTTGGAAAAACTGTGATAACAAAATTGATAATTATTTCTTTGGAGGGAATAAAATTGTTTACCGTTTTGAAACGTCTGGTATTAAGGTTTGGTAACAACGGTTGCCAAACGATGTGCTTTTGTCTAAATTTTAGATGTCACATTATATTTTAAAGCACAGCTATATAGTAACTTAAAAAAAAAATGTAATTATATTTTTGTTTGGTTTATTTTATTTTTTAGGCGCAGTTTTTTAGCTGAAGATGAGGTAGGTCTAACTTATTATGTATCTACTACAACATGTGCAAAAATGTAGCCAAATTTTTTTGTTGTAAAAAAGTACTTTTAGTGATCATGTTGGTGCTTAAGTTTTTTTACCTAAATCGTGTACTATAATATTACGATAATAATTATAATAATAGGTATTTATATTTTTTTTTGGTCGCCAAATTGTACACATTTTATTACCAGGAATTTTGGAGGGAATCGTGAAAAAATATACTGCATGCATAACTTCTTACCGTGGTGGTACTTAACCAGTATTGATATATTGTGATATTTTTTTAATAGAAAATATTATACTGACCATATAACTTTTAAACCTTATAGTGACTCATTAGGATATAATATAAGTACTTTTGTTGATAGTGTCTTATTTACATATTTTAATTTTGTACTTCAACTGCAATATAATTTTGAAAAACCAAACGCTATTTAAAAGGTAAGACTCGTATAACAATCAATGTAATATTATTAAAATAAAAGTAAAATTATTGATAGATGTGAGGATAAGTAAATTTTTTATTTTAAGAAAATGTCTAATTTTATTCTGTGTGTAATTATATGGTAAAAACTATTAAGTATATTCTGTTTTAATTGTACGTATAAGCAACAAAATATGTGTCTGAAACTGTTTATTGGGAAACACATTAAATTCATTGACAGCTCAAATGTTGAAATACATGAAATAGGATGTAGTGCATTATAAAAATATTGTTTTAATAGAATAACAATAGTGTTGTATAATTTTAGACGAGTTATAATAATATTAATTCCTCGTCTAAACGTCTTAGCTGTTCCTCGAGCAGTTGTACTGGATCGCTGTTATTCAAGTTAATTTGGTGCCAAACGCCTAAAATTCTTTTGTATCTTTTGTGTGTACTTCCATCCCATAGCATAAAAGTCCCATTCTGTGTGTTGATCCAAACACTTTTTATGGGCGATGATGGTAATCGTGCACTCATGTATAATCCCATCATACGACTCATCCATTCCATATAGACATCATCGCTTACATGCCACAGCGGTCCATCTGAAAAATTTGTCATATTTTTTTTTAATTTGTTAAAACTAGCTTACTAGTTGCTACTTTTTTGTATGGTGCAGGACACAACTATCTTTTTTGTTGAAATAAAGTCATAAAAAAACAATAGAATATAGCTTGGCGTGGCATTGTATAAAGTACTGCTATTTGTGTTACAAGAATGTAATGTGTTAGTAGTGATCTTATAAAAAAATATATAAATATATATTTATTAACAGTTCAAAAACCAAACACTCCGTATTATTATATTTACCCAATCCACGTCTGATTATATTTATTAAAGCTGAAACGACCTGACCTCTTCTCTGTTCTGCAAGATCTGTCAAATCTAAATCTCCAAAATCTGCAAAAATGATCAAATAAAAAATATTTTAGTTATTATAGTGATGCATGATAATTGCATTAAATTACATAAAGATTTGCGATACAGCTAATTTTTGTGCAACCGGTCAACAAAAAGTTGATTTTATTTAAATTATTGTTTGACATATTATAATACGACATCAAATATAAATAAAATTAAGTAAATTTCAACTCTAACACTAGCTTTTACAGGCTATTTGCGACTGTGGAAACATTGTGTAATTACTTTGAGTGTTATCGAATTCAGGATCAACAATTCCTGTAACGAATACATTGAATTACATAGTGCTGAAAATATCAAGAAAATATATACTATAAATAGTCATCCTGATTGAAGTGTATTGTGTTATCAGCACATTATTCTAACCGTTTTTCGAAAGAATGATTTTACTTCAGCTTTATTACATCAAGTACAAAATAATGTATTTAAATAAGACATTTTTCTATCAATGCATCTACACCCGACGTTGATTGATTGTAATTATTCAGACAACTAGTTTTTCACAAAATAAATTGTATTGTACATATTTTAATATATATTACTAAGACACGTTTGAAATATGCCCCCTTTAAATCCAGATGTAATATATATATATGAAGGGAATTTCCACTCTTAAACAAGTTTTAAGGCTATTTTTGACTATCAAAAAAATTCGTAATTACTTTTATTTATATCAATAGGCAGTGCAATATCTGTAACAAATACATCAATCACCAAATCATTTTACAGTCACTCAAAAACAGAGGTATGAAATATTATTGTGTAAAATATATTAAATTATTTCTTTTACCGACATTTTGAATAAACGGTTTGTATAGTATATTTTGAATGAATATCAAAAGCTTAAGCATAAAACATATTGACTTTATTACTTTAAGCTTCAAATAGTATTTTTAAAGTTTTTCTTATGAACTACAAATATACATAATTAATTATTAGTTTTTTTTCAGTTTTATATTTACTTAATTTAATCACTAATTCTCGTCGAAACAAAAACTGCAAAAACATGCACTCTAAAATTTAAAACAAAATATTATATCTTAATGCAACTACATATTTTTAATGAACATACCAATAGGTTCACAATATGATTGTTGTCAAAGTATTTATAAATAGTGAATATGCGTTAAGTATATTAAAATATATAAAAATGTGGTTACTTTTCATTCTGTTAAGGTAATCTAATTCTGAAATTAAAACAAAAAAAGCGTGTGCACAAAGAGTATTATTAAACAACAGTGTGGAGAAACGTCCATAAAGTACAACGAAAATGATTACCCGGTATTTCGGGAAGATAATCCGTTTTTTCTGAAATGGACATTAGATAATATTATTTAATATTACCATCCATGATGTATTTAATTTTCTATTTATTTATAAACAGCAAGACGGAGCTCAAGGTAGGAAAAAAAACATGTGTATTGGATAAATCAGGAGAAATGTGCTTCACATATTAGACATATTTTCATAAAATTAAAATTAAAACTATTACCCGGTACAGCGATCATATAATTAATTTTGGCTGAAATTGACATTACAAAAATTAGTGATATTGGAAGGCGAAGGTCAAAGTAGAAAAAAACTATATCAAACAGACTTGGGAACCGTTATGAAAATATAATGGCTGATTGGAAGCAGTCGTGGCGATGAGAATATTATAAAATAATAATCGGACAGAGCTAACATCAATGTTTTTTTTTTTTTTAATAAAGATTCCATTTAGATTTCGTAGAAAAATGTAATATTCATATCACTGATATGTCTTATTGTGGTGGATTATCGAGGTGAATTAATAGAGATAGTAGTGGATTAGAGATACTAGATTGCAGGACATATCCATGTATTGATGTATGATCTGCATGAAGTGTGGATGGCGTTAACTCTTTTCAAATTTTTTTTGCGTCTACTTTTATCTTT